AGCCCAGTGTGGGGCAGGGGAGCACCTGGCGTGGGGCGGGGAGCACCTGGCGTGGGGTGGGCGAGCATCTCATGTGGGGCGTGGGGCCGGGGAGCCCACTGTGGGGCAGGGGAGCACCTGGTGTGGGGCGGGGGGGCATGGGGCGGGGAGCCCAGTGTGGGGCAGGGGAGCACCTGGCGTGGGGCGGGGGGCGTGGGGCGGGGAGCCCAGTGTGGGGCAGGGGAGCACGTGACTCTGCCTCGCAGAGTGGTTTCTCTCTTCTCTCTGGCGTTTCCAGCTTAGGCCCGGGGTGTGGCCAGAATTCGAAGGCCTCTGGCCATGACATGGTTGAGGGTCCGGGCGGGGGCCTGGCGCCACGGGTGACTGGGCCGCTGTCCTGCTGGTCACCGGAGGTGTGCGGGCTCTGCTTTCCTGAGACCGAGCTGGGGCCAGGGGAGACACCCCCGGGGGCTCTCGTGCAGGGGTGTGGCGGCAGTCCACAGGGTGGAGCACGTGGCAGACGCGACGGATGGAGTGGTGTGTGACTGTCACCAGCCACAGGCTCTGCCCTCAGCACCGAGGCTCACACCCGGCCCTCACCTCACCGGTCCTCACCCGGGGGGCCGGGGACACGGGCCATCGCACATGCGCCTGGGGTTCTGAGAGGCCGGGCTGGCCCGCGTGGGTCCTGCTTCCTGCCGTGGAGACCTCCAGCTCTGAGCGCCTGTGTCCCCAGCCGTCACCCGTTTCTGCTTCCTGCTGCACGTAGCGTCCTGCTGGCTCAGGCTTCTCAGAACCCTCCGGTCCATCGTGGGGCTTCCCACCCGGTGTGCCCGCGGGGTCCTAGCCCTGGATCGCCAGCCAGCGTATGTGCTGTCGCCGCAGACCAGTGTCACCGGGACCGCTGTCCCTCACGCCGGGCTGTGGCGGTGCTCTCTCCTGATCAGGGCCCCGCCGGGCACCCGCCTCCTGCTGCCCAGCGTGTCCTGGGGTGCCCTCAGCCCAGAGCCACTGCCCTCAGGCTCACCTGCCGCTTCACCCCTCCTGCCTTCTGCCCTTCGTCCACCCCTTTCCGCCAGAGACGCGGGGCTCCTCCCTCCCACCGGCCAGAGCCTCCAGACCTTGCTCTCGAACCCCCACCCCCATCACCGGCTGCTCCTGTGGTTGGCTAGGCCCGTGGGGCCCGGCCTCTGCATGCCTCCCTCCAGGCACAGGGGGCTGCTGGCCCTCTCCGTGTCCCTCTCCGTCCTTCACCCTTCCTCACTCTGCTCTTTCCCAGCCCGGCACTGCCTCCTGCTTGCAAATCCACGGGCCCCTCTCTGTTTTCCTGGTGTTTTATCTGTTTCCCCCGTGGTTGCTGATCGCTCCTGCTGTGAAATGTTCTTTCTCGGAGCCCGCCTTCTGTTTCCCCCCTTCCCCGGTGGCTTTTCTGGGCCGGTTCTGGCTTCTGTTCCCCACTCCCCCAGGTCTGACCCGCACGTGGCCAGGGGCACCCAGCGGGCTTTTCTTCCACCCTGCGTGCTGCGGGGCTGCGATGATGAGTGCTCCGGGGTGGAGTCCAAGCTTGTGTGCGCGGCGCTTGGTGACCTCTCAGTCGTCTTAAGAGGCTCTGCCCTGAGTGGTGACTTCTTCATTCTTGTGACCCTCTCATTTCTGTGTGTCTTTGGCTCACAGTAGGTGCTCAGTAAATAACGGCTATGCACACGAATAATTCTGACAAACTGTCTTTTGGTTTGTAGAGGAAATGAAAACTAAGTCACTAATAACAGCTTCAAGGCATCTGCAAAGTTGTCTTCTTTTAAATAGCTGTTGATTTTAATTAAACTGATATGAAATTTCACAATTGGTGCATAAAGGCCTTGGAGTAGGTGACCTGCTGAAGCAGATTAACTGGCTTGGCTCCTCCCACGGCTGAGGGCAGGGGCTGCCCTGAAAAGGGGGTGCTGGGAGGTGGGAGTGTGGCCGCATGATGTCCGGAGCACTTACCTGCAGTAGGTGCATCATCTTCCCGAATCTGGAGTTTATGAGATTCAGTTCTATGATTCGTATATTCATATTCAAATGTGGTTAAAAAGTGAGTTATCCGAATCAATGTATATTGATTAGTTTTGAAAGTTCCACCAAGTGGGCTGCCCGTGGGAAGTCTTTCCCCTCGGGACACAGAGCAGCTGCCTCAGAGCCACGGCCGTGGTTCTGTCCAGCCTTGCCAGGCCCCCGTGTGCGGGCAGACTGTGTCTTTCTGCACCTGCGCCCCTGGGCCCCCGTCCTTCCTGCGGCTCACCCTCCACTTCTGCCTCTGTCCGCTCCCCTCCTCCCAGAGCTGTGACCCTGAGGGAACTTTCTGTCCTGAGGCCTGCAGGCCTCTGCTGTCCTGGAGGGGAGCCCATCAGTAATCTGAGAGGTGAGGGGGTGGGGCTAGGGGGGCGGTGGGGGGGCGGTGGCTGTGGCGGTGGCTGCGGCATGGCAGCAGGCTGTCGTTTTCTGGCTGGAGGCTGGGTCCCCACCTGTAGGGGCAGGAAGGGGGAGCGTGGCCCCAGCAGCTGTGGCACAGTGTTAGAGGCTCTGCCCTGGGGTCGGTGTCCTGCCGTGTGCTCGCTCGCTCACCTGAGGCACAGCCGCCGCATGTGGCCCCGAGCTCAGTGATGGGGGCGAGGAAGACAGGCTGTCTCTTACCCGTATCAGCGGAGTTGGATAGGCAGGTCTCTGGAGTTCGTCGTTGCTGTATGTGTAAGGATTTGGAGAGTACTGATTAAGGAAGCCTTTTCCTGATTGATGAAAATAGCTCTGTTATGCTCATCCATCACTTCCAGAAGGTTTTGCAGTGTACCAGTGTAGTTCAGAATAAAAACAACAAAAAAGTTAAAAAAAAAAAAAAGGGAACGTCAGCCAGAGCTGCCGGGCTTTGGCAGGAAGAGAACTGGATGACCCTGACGCTTTCGGCGAGCAGCCAACCTTGAGATGGAGCCCAGGAGGGCGAGTTGGCAGATTGGGCTCCGCGGCCACCAGCCTCCTCGTGCAGCTCTTAAGGGGCAGGGGGATGAGGAGATGAGCTCGGGAAGCGGCTGGGGTCAGGACGGGCGTTATGGGTGCCAGCCCATGCGTGGTCCTTCAGCCACGAGACTGACAGAGGTCGCCTGGGCCCTCTAGTAGGCAGGAAGTGCCCCTTGTGGCCCTGGGGAAGTGAGGGGGCACTAGGAAAGCAGATGGAGCTGGGGCCGGCGCGGCGGCGGGGGGAGGGCGCGGCGGGCGGTCGTCCCGCTGCCCAGCGTCGGCCTTGCCTCTTGCAACCGAAAATGGACTCGGATGGTGGACTCCCTGGCCAGGTGTCCCCCTCCACTCCCATCCTGCACCCCCTCCATCAGAACCAGGTCCTACGTCCTCCACGTGTGTCCTCCCCGGCCGCCAGCTGCTCTCTGGAACCGTGCACCCTGGTGCTCATGGGGCCAGCTCCTGTCCCTCCCTCAGCCCCCCCCCCCACAAGTCACCGCCACCTACAAACACAGCAGGAATCTCCCCACGGTGTTCTGCACCGGGGCTCCCTTCTGCTACTGTCGGGGTGATCTGTTCTGTCCCAGAACTCGGGGTGATTTTAAAATAGGATGGTCTCTGACAGTGTCGGCTTGTCCCAAGGAGGCAAGGGTGTGTCCCTCCGGAAGGGGGAAGGGGGAAGGGCTGGGCCTGTGTGCCCACAGGGCTGCCATGGTGTTGGTCACCGGAGACGTGAATCGAGGTGCTTGCAAACAGACCGCCAGTGTGAATGTCAGCCGCTGTTAGAAGGAAGAGCCAGTGGGGACAGGAGGAGCCCCACACCCACAAGGAGATGATTCAGGGCCCCTAGAATAGCGTCAGTGATGAAGACAGTGAGGACCTGCGGGGGGGGGGGGTGGTTGCGGAGAAGCTGAGGGCACTGTTGGAGGTCACTTGCAAGGTTGCCACAGAGAGCCTGGACTGTGTGGGAGATGGTGTGCCGGCGCCGCGGGTCTCAGCACTAGGTGCCTTGGGTGTCCTTCCCCAGCATCTGTCCGTGGAGAGCCCAGGCCTGTCTGGACTCTTCCACAGGCGGGGATGTTCCAGAACTCAACCGAGGGGGCCGTCTCAGGTCCAGGGGCCCCACTGGGAAAGCTCAGTCAGCCTAAGTCTCTGTACCTTCGCATTTCCCAGTCTGCCATCCCCACGGGGCACAGCAATGGACACCTTACGGGGCAAGCGGGAGGGACACTGTTGGGGAGACCGTGCCAGTCATTTAGAAACCGAGTGTCCCCAGCTGTGCACATGTGGCTGGTGTCTGTGTGGGAGCTGGTGTAGACCTGTGATGTGAGTCGGGCCAGGATCAAGAGTGGCTTCTGCTGCTCGTGGCCTTGGGCACATCGTGTACTCTCTCTGTGCCTCCGTTTTCCTTTCTTGAAACGCAGAGAAGAAAGTCTCAGTTTGACAGACTTGTGGCGTGCCTAAGTAACAGGGCTTGTGTGGCATCGAGTGCTGCCTGGCCCGGGGTCACGGGAGGGCTTGTCCCTGCTGTTCTGTCTTCGTCACAGTGGCTGCAGGCCTGGCGTCCTCTTCCAGAGAGGCTGCGGCGTCAGACCTCACCGCCGTCTCCAATTTGATGTCAGAAAATGGTGCACTTGACTCATCCCCAGCACCAGTGCTGGGCATGCTCCATGCCATCCGCAGGGTGATGAGGACCTGTGTGTCGTGTGGGCCACGCGCGGCCCCCGTGGCGTGACTGGGTGCCGGACTGCATCTCGGTTTCCCTCTGGCCCCGCTGCCCGCTTAGGGCTCCCGCGCTTGCTTCTCATGGCTGTCTGGCAGGAGAGTTACCCCGGAGGTCGTGGCGGTGAAGTCACTGTGGGGATGGCATCGCCCACACCCCCAGGTGCCACCAGCAACCGGTTGGCCTTGGCCGGAGATGCCGGGGACTTTTATGTTGTTGGTTGCCCTTAGTGATTGACAGCAGCTCTGCCTTCTGTTGGCATTTTGAGCGAATGTGTCACGCTCACGGGGCACTCTCTTCCTTGGCTCAGATAACATCCCCGAGGACCTCAGGGACCCCTTCTACGTTGACCAGTACGAGCAGGAGCACATCAAGCCGCCCGTCATCAAACTCCTGCTGTCGGGCGAGCTGTACTGCCGGGTCTGCAGCCTCATCCTGAAGGGGGACCAGGTGGCTGCCTTGCAGGGACACCAGTCTGTCATCCAGGCCCTGTCCCGGAAAGGCATTTATGTGATGGAGAGCGACGACACCCCCGTGACGGACCCGGACCTCAGCCACGCACCCATAAAGATGGTGAGTGTCCTGTGTGTGCGGGGTGGGGGAGGGCTGTCTGTCACCGAGGACGACCGCGTCTACCGCGGGCACTGGTGAGGGCACCCCAGCCTGTCACGCTGCCACGCACCCTCTGCAGCGTGGATCGCAAGAGTGTCCGGCAGGGTGGCGGGCTAGCGGCTGTGCGGCGGTGTCCTGAGGCGCGTGTCTCCCAGTGCCTGCGACTTGTGGGGCGAAGGGTGGCTCCCCGTCCGCGCTCTTCCTCCTTCCAAGCGCTGTGTGAGCGCGGAGGGGAAGTTGAGGCGTGTTCGTGGAAACATCCGGAGGCAGGCATCTCGTGGACGTTGTGGTGTGCGGCAGTCGGGCCTGTTCTGTTAGGCTGTGCACGCATATCGTGTTTTTATGTCCAGGTGAAGAAAAGACTCCTTTTTCTGCCCTCTCCCCTGTCTCTGGAGGCCACACCGTTGATGTGGCTTGTCCCGCCCGCCCCGGGTCAGCCAGTTCCGGTGCCTCCCACGTCACTGGGATTGGCTGTTCCCTGGCGATTTGCGTCCCGTGGCTTTTCACTCTCGGGCTTCTCGGAGGGTGTGTCATGGGTCAGCAGGTGCCCCTTGGGTGCCGGGAGGACACGGCGCCAAACTGTGGCGGGGGGGGGGGGGGTGCCGCGGCAGGGCTCCTGCGAACCTGCCCTTTCATGCTCGTGCAGCCTTGGGCACATCTCCCGCCCTTGTACCCCACCCCCTGGGGGGGCGCTCAGGGTTGCCGCGGAGACGAGGTGGGTTTGGCCGCCCTAACTGTCGCCTGTGCTGCCAGAGTGCCCACATGGCCATGGTGGACGCCCTCATGATGGCCTACACCGTGGAGATGATCAGCATCGAGAAGGTGGTGGCCAGCGTCAAGCGCTTCTCAACATTCAGTGCCTCGAAAGAGCTTCCGTACGACCTCGAGGACGCCATGGTGTTCTGGGTCAACAAGGTCAGTGCCAGGGCTGCATCGGAGGGGGGACGGGGGCCACGCGGCGCCTCCTCGAGTAGCGCGAGTGGGCCGGGGGGCTCCCCAGTGGCAGGTCCGCCCCCCGAGAGCTGCGCCCCCCTCGTGTGTCGCACGGAGACCCAGGCCCTGGCAGGGGCCCCAGGAGTGAAATGTGCCGTGTCCAGAAGTGTATCTGCTGCAGGTGTCCCCCGGGTGTGCCGAGCGCGGCCGAGGTCTCAGTTTCTGCGTTCGTGCTGTTTCCATCTCAGGAGCTCCGTGCGTCGGAGGGGCGCTCGAGTTTGGAAGGGGTTTTGATTATGAAGAGAAAAGTAATGTCTTCCTAAGTGCTGTTTTCTCTCTTTTTAAAAAATATATACGTATTTTAAATGTTTTTATATATTTTTGAGAGACAGAGCACAAGCAGGGGAGGGGCAGAGAGAGAGGGAGTCACAGAATCCGAAGCAGCTCCAGGTTCTGAGCTGTCAGCACAGAGCCCGACACGGGGCTCGAACCCACGAACCGTGAGATCATGGCCTGAGCCAAAGTCGGACACATAACTGACTGAGCCCCCAGGCGCCCTGCTGTTTTCTCTTTTTATGTTTAGAGGTTTACAGTGTGATCTTTTATACGACGCTTAGAAAGGAGGTTTTCAGTGGCCCACGAGTGTTTATAAGATCACCTTGCCAAAGCATTTTGGTTATTCGGCGTCTTTATACGTAAACAGATGTTAACTGGGGACACTTCCCTAACGCAGCAGCAGGCGGAGAAGGTGGAGCAGCTCCTCGTAAAGTTGTCTTAGGGGTTCAGTCGGTTAGGCGTCTGCTCTAGATTCAGGCTCAGGTCATGGTCTCACGGTTGGTGCGATTGAGCCCCGCCTCGGGCTCTGCGCTGACAGCGTGGGGCCCACTTGGACCCTCTCTGCCCCCTCCCCCCAAATAAACTTCAAACAAGTAGTTGTGTTAGTCTGCCCCCAGGATTTAAGTTATTTCCTTACATAGTTTTTTGCGTGTATTCTTTGTAATGTAAGGCTTTACAAGAGGCAAAGTAAAAATCGGTGGCCGTGGAAGGAGTTGAAGAAGTGGGTGAGCTGGGCCGCGGCGGGTGTGCCGACTCCCCTGGGGGGCGTCAGGCACGTGTTGTGACTTCTGGCTAAGATGCTTGCCCTGCTCTTGGCTTGGTTTCCTACGCGGAGGTGGGGTGGGGGCGTCCAGTCACGGGCAGGCCCCCTTAATTCCTGACTGCTGGGTGAGGTAGAGCGCTTTTTCGCGGTTCGCTGCAACCTGCGGGTCCTGGTTCGGACTGAGGCCAGTGCCCGTGAGTCGGCCTGCTGGTGGTGGGCACCGTGTCTGACCTGCCCCCCGGCGGCGCACAGCACCGCCCGCACCTGTGGGAGGCACCCCGCAGCAGCGTGGTTACAGAAGGGCGCTCGTGCACGTTTCCGGAGGACCTGGCCTTGGCTGATAGTCCTATAGTCCCAGCACGGCCGTCCTGCGGCCACGAGGCCAAGTGCGTGTGTGCGCGCGTGTGTTACCTCACTGACGTGCGGGGCTCCATTAGTTTCCGGTGCGCGGCGTTGTGATCGAACAGTGTCACCACGGCCTCGTTAGGGGACTTGACTGTATGCCCTGTGTTGTGCCTTCCTCCCTCCAGAGCTCAGGTTTTCTGATAACTTTTATTGGTTTCTCCTTCTTATAAATGAAATGACACGGTCATTAGAAAATATGATGAGCAAACAACTCAGAATATAAACTCCCCATAACCTCACCACCTATATATGTGTTTTAATATAAACTCTCATAATTTTTAATAATTTAGGATAGATAGATGGGGGCGCATGGGTGGCTCAGCTGTCTGACTTTAGCTCAGGTCATCATTCATGGTTCATGAGTTTGAGCCCCATGTTGGGCTCTCTGCTGTCACCTCAGAGCCTGCTTTGGATCCTCCATCCCACCCCTGCTCATGTTCTTTCTTTCTCAAAAATCAATAAACTTAGAAAAAGAAAAAAAGAATTGAACAGTTCTTATTTATTTGGCTGTAAGATCCAGGCTAGGAGCACAGTTAGGGGCTCCTAGGGGCTGGGCTGAGAGCGGAGGCTCGCCTCTGGCAGCACGGGGAGGAGTCGCTCCGGGGCTGGCGTCAGGGCTCGCCTGCTGGTGTCTCGGGACCCGGCTCTCCGGGTGACCGAGGCCACTTCCCTCCCACGTATGACTGGCGGGCAGTGGTTGCCACATAGCTGAGGTTCATTTGTAAAGGCTTTTGATTGGTTTTGATTGGTTTTTGCCAAATTTCTGACGATAAAGACTACTATTTTCTTTTCATACTCTCGGTCCGTATACATGTCTTTTTCCGTGATTTCCCATAAATTGGATATTACTAAAAAATATTTGCCGTTTTTAAAGGTGAGAAATAGTGTCATATTTTATTTCTTTGTTTACTGATAAAGCTGAAGTTTAAGAGATGGAGGGTATGTTTGGCCATTTGTTTTTCTTTTTGATAAATTAACTCGTCTGTGAGCTTTGGCCATATTTCTTTGGGCGGTGGGTACATTCCTTTTCTCCCCTGCCTGATCAGGTTTCTCATATATTAAGGGTGTTTTTCGTTTGCCATATCTGTGTACATGATTTTCCAGGTTATTGGCACTTCTGTTTGCCTGTGGACTTACTGGTACATGGAAGATGGTCTTCATGTGGTCCAGCAGCATCACTTTTATCTGCCCCTGCGCATTTTTTTGGTATTAACCTCTGTATTTCAAAGAAATGCACTCTTTTTCTGACTCTGCCTCGGCCTCTGGCAGGGGCTGCCTTCTGATTTACTGATAGCTCGTGTGACCCTCCGTCTGGTCCCTGCTGGTCCGCTGTGGTTATACGACCTACTGTGGTTGGATCTGTAGTGAGATGTAGTATTACTGTGACTAGGTGTGACTTTTCCATAGCTCATGCCCCTTTTCTTGTGCCACACTTTGGTTTTACTGGAGTTGGTACTTGCTTCAGTTTTTTGTGACCTTTTTGGATTATTTTATTCAGTGTTTTCCATATTTTATATTTCCTTAGCATTTCCAAATGAACATAAGTTTCTCACGTTGATAGATTTTCCCTCATGTGTATTTTCGTTCTCTGATGTTGACGAAGCGGTGAGCTCTGGCCAAGGGCGCCCCCACACGTATGCCTTCATGTGGTTTCTTTCCAGTGCAGATTCATGGGTGTCAAATGAGGGGTGTGCTTACTTAGGTATCTGGCACTCAAGGGGCTCCTCTCAGATGTGAGCTGTGATGCAGGGGGAGAGGCGCCCCTGTACTTTGTGTACTCAGAAGGTCTGTCCCTGGACTCAGACGAGGTGTGAGCTCCCCAAAGCCTTTCCTTCATGGACTATGGCCATGGCCTCTGTAGTGTGGGTCCTCTGATGCCTGACAGCTCAGAGCTGGGTCCAAAAGCCTTCCCACCTTCCTGTTGCGGGTGGACTCTCTCCCCACTGAAAGCTGCCCGTGTGTTTCATAAGGTTTGGGCTCTTGAGAGTTTTTATGTGGTCAGTTTTCTCTTCAGCATCAATCTTTGATGCCTCGTAAGATCTGGATCTTCTCTGAAACTGTGGTTGCAGGTGATGTTCCCAAGAACATCCCAGATGCTTCTGGACCAGCCCCTCCCCGCTCCCTGGGTGACCAGGCCCTCTGGGGGGTGGAAATTGCCCTCCTCAGGATTGGGACTCGCGACCAAGCTGTCCTCCGGATTCCCTGCTCTGTGTGAGACTGAGCTGTCCTCTGTCCCTAGAGTTGTGGACTTTTGCCATGACCGTCTTGCTGTGGCTTCCGACATCTTTATTGATGCCCGGCCTGTTGCTTTAGTCTTTGAAAAACAAACCCCAGCTTCGCTGCTGTCTGATTTGCACCCAGTAAATGGACCCAGTTCCTTGAGTTTGACCAGTGACTACCGTTTAACGTTTACCATCAAGGTAACATTTCCATCTCCCTAAACACGTTCCCTTGTGTCCCTTTGCGGTTCATCCACCAGCGTGGGTTACCGCTGATCTGCTCTCTTCAATAGAAATGAGTTTTACCGCTTCTAGGATTTGATAAAAACGGATCATGTGTATGTACTCCTTCACGGAGCAAAACGATTCTGAAGTTAATCCACGTTAGTGCATCTGGCCGTGGTTTTCTTTTTATATTCCGGAGAATTCCATCGTGCGCACAGACCACAGTTAACCTGCCCCCCGCTGGCGGATGCTGCAGTTGTTTCTGGTTCTTGTCTGTGGTGGAGGCTGCCAGGAACCTTTGTGTACAAGTCGGACCTGCAGATACGTTTTCATTTCTTCGAGTCACGTACTTAGGCGTAGAATTGCCGGGTCAGTGATAAAGTCGTATCGAACATTAGAAGGAACCGCCTGAGTATCTTCCAAGGCGATGGCACCACTTTGAGGGGCCACCAGTAAGAGAAGTCCAGCTGTCCCAACATGTGCCAGCACTTGGGATAGTCTGTCCGTCAGCCGTGGCCGTCTGAGTGGATGTGCGGGGCTGTCTTTCCGTGGTTTGCGTTTGCGTTTGCGTTTGTGTCCGCCTGGCGACTAAGCACATTTGTACGTATTTTGTTAAGTGCATGTTCAAATATTTTGCTGAATTTTAGGGTTTGTATTTAATTCTGTGTCAGTTTTGGTAACTTGCGACTTTCAAGGAATTTCTCAACTTTATTTTCATTGTTGAATTAAGTAAATTATTACCCTTTAGATGTGCGTGTGCCTGTAGTAGTGTCTCTGTTGTTTTCCTGCCCGGGGTAACTTCTGTCACTTGTCTTCCTTCCCTTGGGTTGGTCTGGCTTGTCAATCTCATTAATCTAAAAACCTTCTTTAGAGTTTTACTGGTTTCTTCTGTTGTTTTCTTTTTAATTTCTTCTCTTTTAATTAATTAATTACATTAAATTTTTAAGTAATCCCTACACCCAACACCAAGATCAGAGTTGCACATTCCACCGACTGAGCCTGCCGGGAGCCCCTCTCATGTTGTCTGTCTGTCCGTCTGTCTTTCTTTTAAGTTTATTTATTTTTATTTTATTTTATTTTATTTTATTTTATTTTATTTTATTTTATTTTATTTATTTCTAGCAGAGAGAGAGAGAGAGACAGCGTGAGCAGGGGAGGGTCAGAGAGAGAGGGAGTCACAGACTGAAACAGGCTCCAGGCTCCGAGCTGGCAGTCAGCACAGAGCCCGACGCGGGGCTCGAACCCACCAACCGCGAGATCATGACCCAAGCGAAAGTCGGACGCTTAACCGACTAAGCCACCCAGGCGCCCCAAGTTTATTTATTTTTAAAGAGAGCGTGAGTGTGAGTTGGGGAGGAGCAGAGAGAGAGAATCCCAAGTAGGCTCTGAGCTGTCAGCACAGAGCTGACTTGGGGCTCGATCTCTCGAACCATGAGATTGTGATCTGAGCCAAGATCAAGGGTCAGACAGATGCTCCACCTGCTGAGCCCCCAGGTGCTCCTCTTGTTGTCTTTCTACTTAAAGTGAGTGTCTTTGTTTAAAAAAATTGTTAAGTTTATTTATTTATTTTGAGAGAGAGCTAGCATGAGTAGGGGAGACAGAGACACAGAGAGAGAGAGTCAGAAGCAGGCCCCGTGCTGTCAACACAGAACCCGACTTGGGGTCAAAGTCACTAACCTCAAGATCACGACCTGAGGGGCACCTGGGGGGCTCAGTCGGTTAAGCGTCCGACTTCAGCTCAGGACATGATCTCACGGTCCGTGGGTTTGAGCCCTGCGTTAAGTTCTGTGCTGACAGCTCAGAGCCTGGAACCTGTTTCAAATTTGTGTTTCCCTCTCTCTCTGCCCCTCCCCCACTCAATGCTCTGTCTCTCTGTCTCAAAAATAAATAAACTATTATTTAAAAAAAAAAAAAAAGATCACGACCTGAGGTGAAATCAAGAGTGGGGTGCTCAACTGGCTGAGCCCCCCCAGGCGCTCCTTAAAATGAGTTTCTTATGGACACTGTGGAGTCAGCCCTGCTTTTTTATTCAGTCCGAGAACCTGCCTTATTGTTGAGGGTTTTAGACCAGTTCTGTTTAATGTGATGATTGAGCTATTTCCGTCTGACATCTTGTCTGCTTTCGATTGATCTCATTTTGTCTTTTTCTTTATACTCTTCTGGCTTATTTTAGACTGGGTAGTTTTTAGTAGTCCATTTTCTCCTGGAGTTCTTGGGGGCTGCTTTAGGGTTTGGTTTTCACCGTTTGCCTTCAGAGAGCATGATGCCGTGTCACTCGGCGCATTGGGAATGACTTCTCCCTCCCTGGCTGCTGTGCGCTGCCTGCTCCGCTGCAGCCTCACATATGGAGTTTTATTTTCAACAGTTAGACATCTTTTAAAGTAATTGAAACTAGGGGCGCCTGGGGGCTCAGTAGGTTAAGTGTCCGACTTCGGCTCAGGTCATGATCTCACAGTTCATGGGTTCGAGCCCCGTGTCGGGCTCTGTGCTGACAGCTCGGAGCCTGGAGCCTGCTTTGGATTCTGTCTCCCTCTCTCTCTACCCCTCCCCTGCTCATGCTCTGTCTTTCTATCTCAAAAAATAAATTAAAAAAAAAAAAAAAAAAACTTAAAAAAATAAAGTAATTGAAACTAGGGAACATTTATCCACATCGTCTCCATTCTTGTTGCCCTTCATTCCTTTGCGTAGATGAGGGTCCTCGGAGTTCTGGGCTTAGGTTCCCTGTACCTTTTTAACAAAACTGTGGGTCATAAAGAAGTAAAAAAACAATTTAATCTGTCAGTGTTTATCATATTAGATATTAAAAACAAGAAAACTCAGGGGCGCCTGGGTGGCCCAGTCAGTTACATGTCTGACTTTGGCTCAGGTCATGATCTCACGGTTCGTGGATTCGAGCCCTGCGTCGGCCTCTGTGCTGACAGCTCAGAGCCTGGAGGCTGTTTCGGATTCTGAGTCTCCCTCTCTCTGCCCCTCCCCCGCTCGTGTTTGGTCTCTCTCTCAGAAATAAACATTAAAAAAAAAATAAAACAACTTAAGATTTTTATTAATTTGGTTAAAAATAAAACCTATTTCATGTTAAAATAATGTATTTTTTAACCAAAAATGACTATATTTTCTGAGAGAAGAAATGGTATTTTACAATTTTGTATGTATCTGTAATATCCGGCTTACTGGAAGGGAAGCTAGACGCTCTTAGCTGCCTTTGCGTGCGATCCACTACAGCACGTTTGCGTGGAAGTGTGGGACGACCGTCTGGCTTCCTATGGACGTATGGCTGGGGGAGGGGTGTGTTCTGAGGTTGCGGTGTGGCGGGATGTCGTCCCCTCCTGATGTCGACGTGTCTGCGTCCCTGCGTCAGCTATGCGGTCCGGCCTGCTGGTGTGTGGGGCTCAGGGCCCTCCCGTTCCGCCCTCTGCCCTGCAAGTCCAGATGCACATTTGGTTTTGATTTGACACCAGAACTTGACAAGTAGTAGTTTCTCAAAGGTTAATTGCAATATGGAACTTGAACCACTTATTCATGTGAATTGGGGTAAGATTGAGGTTGTAAAATTCAGTATTTTTAAATCTATAGTCCAATGGTTTTTAATATATTTGCAGAGTTGTACAGTTGTCATCACCAATTCCAGACATTTTGATCACATGCAGAAAGAGAGTTCCCTTGAGCACTCACCATCCCCCACCCCTGCAGACCTCAAACCCTGGCAGCCGAGGACCTGCCTCCAGTCTCTGCGCGTGTGCCAGCCATGGGCATTTTGTGTCAGTGCAGTCCTGCCCTCGGCCACCACTGCTCGGCGTCACGTTTTCAGCCGTCGCCTGTGCCGTAGTGTGTTGTGGCGCGCACCGCACTCCACCCCTGTGTGACAGAAGTCATGCGGCATGCCCCCGTGCCGACCTGCCACGTTGTCTTTATGTGCTTCTTGGCTGGGGGCACCTATGCCTGTCTGTCGGCTCTCGCGGATGCTGCTGTGATCGTTGTGGACGAGGTTTGTGTGGTGTGTTGTGTATTTAGGGATGGGGTTGCCAAATCGTGTGGGAACTCTGACTTTTAGCAGAGCGGCCTCACCGTCTTACCCTTACCGGGGGGGTGTCAGGTCTCAGTGTCCCACGCCCTCATGGGCGCGCGCTTTCTAATTTTTTGATTCTAGCTATTCTGGAGAGGTGAGGTGTGGTCTCGTGGTTTAGGTTCGAATCTCCACGGTGGGAGCCTCTTCATTTTTGTGTGCATGCTGGTCATCTGCAGGTCTTCTCCGGAGGGAGGCCTGTTCAGATCCTTTGTCCATTTTGAAATCAGATCATTTGTCTTTTTATTGTTATAAGAATTCTTCTGTATGTTTTGGGCACCAAATCCGTGACCTTCGTCCTCTGTTATGTTAAAGTCCACGTACGGTTCCCGTGTCCTTCGTGGCTGTTCCAGTGATGTGTCTGTAACATACACTCGTCACTTGGAGAAAAGATTCGGAGGCAGTTGTGTAGATCTCTGCAGCGTTGTCACATGTCAGGAACAGGATGGAAGGTTACATTCATCAATGTCACCATCAGCCTAATCAGAAAATCCTTTTTGTGTTAGAAAGCTATCTAGCATATGACAGAAATGTGTCTTCTCAAAAAGTCTTTATTGTGAAAAATTGTAAAAGTGAAGAACTACACAGAGAACACTCATGTGCCTACCACCTAGATTTCACAAGTAAGGTTTTATAATACTTGCTGTATTACTTATCCATCCATCTATTCTTTAAAAAAATTTTTAAAATATTTATTTATTTTTGAGGGAATGCGAGTGGGCGAAGGGGCAGAGAGAGAGGGAGACACAGAATCCGAAGCAGGCTCTAGGCTCTAAGCTATCAACACAGAGCCTGACGTGGGCCCTGAACCCACAAACAGGGAGATGGTGACCTGAGCCGATGTCAGACACTCCGCAGACTGAGCCCCCCAGGCGGCCCCATCTGTCTATTCTGATTCATTTATTTTAAAATGTATCTGTATTGATTTTCTTTTTACTGTTTTCTTTCAAAAAAAATTTTCTGCCTTCTTGATTTGATTTGCATGACTTCATTTACTTGTAGTCTTGTTTAGCAAAACATTCAATTCCATGTGTTTTCATCTCCTGGCTTTGAACACATCCTTTAAGCATTGAGTATTTTTCTCCACGGTATTACTTTATAATTGTAATTTTGGTTTTATCTTGGGGTTAATCATTCCAGGAGAGAATGAAGCCTAAGAGGTTGTTAGTGAAGGAGTTCACGTTACATTTTACGATTGAAGGTGATTTGGCGTTACTTGCGAACGGTCAGGGACGCGGGAGCCACACCGTCTGCCAGGCGGCGTTCGCTGATAGTTGCAAGTCGCACTGCTGTGCACCGTGGGCCTCCGGCGAGGTGGCGAGCATCACGCTGGCGTGCGGCAGGCCGGCTCTGGTGTCCACGCCCAGCACAGACCGTGTGGAATCTCTATATTTCTGCTTTTGTGTAATTGGCCTAAAGCATACCCGTGTCTCAGACCCAGGCTGCAAACAAGCGAGGTGGGGTCTCTGGGTGGAGAAGGGAGGGCACAGAAAGCCATTGCCCTTTTAATGCATTTTTCTTCCACTTCAGGTAAATCTTAAAATGAGAGAGATTACGGAGAAAGAAGTCAAGTTAAAACAGCAGTTACTGGAAAGCCCAGCTCACCAGAAGGTAAAGGGTACACTGAACTCTTCTGGAATGTGTCGAGTTATGGTTGCTTCCGGTTTCTAAGAATGATTCCCGTATCCTCCACTTGCTTACCCTGTCTGTACGCCCCCCCCAAGCGCACTCCCAGGCCTCCCGCGGAGCGGCCCTGGTGCTGGGCATGACGGTGCGCTCCTCTCTTCTCCCTGCACTGCACGGCGGGTGGGGGGCTGTATTTAACTGGGGGGGCGAGGGGGAGGTTGGGAGAGGTCGAAGCTCCAGAACGGGGTCGTACGGATGACCTGGGGGTGGGCCTCTGGAGTCACTGAGGAGGAGAAAACTGCCTGCTGCCCAGGGCGCCCCTGAGAATCGTGTCTGTCACCCCTGGGCTCCAGCGTAGCCGCTGGGGCATCTCTGGGACCCTGCATGGAATTCAGGCAGGGGAACGTGAGGTGTCCCGTGAAATGACACAGATGGTGTGTTATGCATTCTGGTCATTTCTGCCCTTGTCTCCCCTATGATAGTGTTTTTTGCCAAGCAGGTGTGTGACCAAATCCATACCCCGTAAACGTGCGTGAGATGTGGCCCGGCCGCACCTGCGGTCTCTTGTCACTCCTTATCTGGTCCTCTCACTCTGGGCATGGGGGGGGAGGCGGGGGCGGATGCCGTGGGCGGCACACCCTGGGCTGCGTGTCTGTGGGCCTCCCTGCCCGTCACGTGGGCACAGGGACGCACTGAGCGCCCCCTGAATGGCAGTTGGCGGCTGTCCCGTGGTGCCCGGCCCAAGCCGAGCGTCCCGCGGAGGCCAGTGCTGTGGAGGTGCCCGTGACCGCCCGCATTGTTCGCGTGGCGATGCAGGGCATTGGGTCCTGCGCCCCGGGCGGGTCTCACTTCTCAGAGCACGCCCGGTGTTCCTGTGTGTGTTGTGTGGACGCGTGTGTGACGCGGCCGCCCGCTGACACTGTCTCCTGCCTTCTTCCCTGCCTCCCGAGCAGTCCCCCTCCAAGTGGTACTGGAAGTTAGTGCCCGTAAGTGACCTCCGCGCGCCCGCTGCGTCCAGACGGCCATTCTGTCACAGTCGCTCGCTTCCATCACACAGCTGCTCACACCTGACCCGCTTCGTGTGTCCCGCGTCCTCCCTGGTAGTGTGGCCACGCCCCTGCAGTACCAGCGAGAACGTGACCCTGGGCTCCGTAGCCTTTCCCTAGACACGCCCAGTCAGGTTTTGCCCATTTCTTAGGTAATTTTATACTCTTTGTTGCGGGAGAATATCCATACGTTCTCGCCGCTCGCAGGCCTCGGGGAGTGACACGTAGGCTGATTCCCCGAGTTACTGCCTACGTTTTTTGTCCTGATGTTACCTTCCCTGATGGTGTGTAACGTGACCTCTCTCAGGAAGTGTCACGGGGTAAGGGCTGGAGGGGCTTCTCTCTCCAGGGAGACAGCTCCCTGGGTGTTGGCACCACCCCTGCCGCCCGCCCGGGCGGGGGAAAGGGTCTGAGTTAGGTCAGCATGGATGCAGGGTTTCTGGAATCCAAGTTAACTTGAAGTGTGACTGCTCCCATAAAAAGAAAGTTACGAGCTAGTGACTTGGATCGACAGTCTTAGTGGTGCTAACCGCCCCCCCCTCCCCCCGCCCGGGAGCGTTCTGGAAGCAGAAGAAGCTGCTGACGCTGTTCCCGCGGGAACCGTGGGGACTCCAGGGGGTGCGGCTCGGAACGAAGTCTTGGAACACACCTTTTTGCAGACCCTTTAATGGCCTGTTCCTTTAGTTTAATTATCGAGACCAGAGTTTCCTCAGACTTGTGTCACAGAGGAGGCGGCGCGGCCACGCACGGGAAGATCCGGGCCACGTGAGCAGTGACACACTCTGCTCTGTGGCCAGCGTGGTGGATAAGTTTGCTTCTGTTTGCAATGGGTCAGTAACAGAGAAGAGGAAGGCATTTTTTTTATGAGTATTTACATGTCTCTTCCCGAATCCTGACGGCCAAGAGCCGAGTGTTAGGTGACGTTACTTAATGAGGGGCCGTCAGAAACGGAGCGTCCCGCAGGAAGCCAGGTCTCAGCCGAGGGTTTTGTACAAGGGCAGGACCATTCAGGTCTCCCTGTAGCCGTTGGTGGCCGTGACTTCAGCGCTCAGCACGCGGGCCAGTAGGACGGGCACAGGCGGGTGTGGTCGGGCCACTGGCCTGGACGGCAGCCTGGGGGTCATCGTTCAGGCTCCCCGGGCCCTGGAGTTCAGAGGTGCTCCCTGACGTTAATGAGACACACGCCATCCGTGTTCGGTGCAGAAACCATTGGCTTCACTGCATGCTGTGGTCCGTCCCGTGTGTGCCGTGTGGTCCGTGTGGAAGCCTGGCTTGGCGCATGTCCCACGCCCTGCATGCCGCGCGGCCCGCAGCCTGCCGCAGTCCGTGCCGCAGGCCTCGAGAAACAAGTTAAGATCTCCGTCAGCATGGACTTCCGTGACACGAGATAAAGCGCATTCCCATTTTGAAAGAATGCATTAGGTGTGCTTTATACCAGATACCAGTATTGATCAGTCCACCTTGTATGTTTGTTCAGACGACTTCAAACTCCCCATTGCCGAGAGGGTTTTTCTCCTGGGTGACGCCGTTGGCACAGCTCTCAGAAATCCACAGTCGTTAGCGACTGCTGGTCTCTCATTTCTGTTGTGTCCGGCCGTAGACATTAGTGCGGGGGGGGAGGGGGCGCGCAGAGGACGCCCGGACAGGCACCTGCACGGACGCCCCTACCCTGGACGGCACGCACGTGCGCACACTCAGACCGACGCGCCGCCGTGGGGCTGTGCTGAGAGGTGGGCGCTCTGACGGCGCACACGCCCTCTCCTCCAGGGGCGGAAGTGTGGAAACCTTGACAAAGCACCTGTTTTATTAAAAAAAAATTTTTTTTTTTATCTTTATTTTGAGAGAGACAGAAAGTGAGTGGGGGAGGAGTAGAGATGGGGAGACACAGAATCTGAAACAGGCTCCAGGCTCTGAGCTGCCAGCACAGAGCCCGACGCGGGGCTCGAACCCACGGACCGTTGAGATCATGACCTGAGCCAAAGTCGGACGCTTCACCGACTGAGCCACCCAGGCGCCCCAAAAGCACCTGTTCTATACGGCACCTCGCATGCATTTAATTTCCTGACGACTTGTTGCATTTATTAGAGAGCCTGGTGGACATTTTCTATGAAATGTTGTCGAACCCGGTTTAGGGAGTTTCTCAAACCCTGTCTAATGTCACTGTGTACTTTTCTTACTGGCTGAGGTTCACGCCGATGCTACTGAGGAAGGGAACAGATGGGTCTTCCCGGCATTCGGACATTCACCATTTAACTTGTTTCTCGCTTGTTCAGAGGATGCGGCTTTTGGTAGTGTAGCCGTGCATTCTGTATCTGGTCCCGTGTGCCCTGTAGAGCGGGACAGCCCTGGTGCTGTTAGCGGCTAATTGCTGACACCCAAGTGTGGCCGGGGCGCTCAGTTCCCTGGACCTGGACATGTGTGTTCAAGGCCAAGTGTGTCATCCAGACGTGTGAGCTTGTCCCATGTGATTGCCATCATTCTAAACACCATCCCGAGGGCATCGTCTTGGTTCTAGATTTAACGGCCTGCCCGTAGTGTCGGGGGTCGTGGAGGCCTGTCCCGCGTAGACCACTCTCCTCCTGTCATCTGCAGGTGCGCTATCGCCGAGAGCACCTGTCCGCGAGGCAGCCGCCCCACTTCCCGCTGCTGGAAGACCTGATGAGAGACGGCAGTGACGGGGCCGCTCTCCTGGCCGTGGTCCACTACTACTGCCCGGAGCAGATGAAGCTGGATGGTGAGTGCAGAGACCTCCCCCCCGGCCCCCCCGGGAACGGACGCGAGGCCCGGGGGAGCATCACACGCACCCCCATGCAAACGCGTAAAAGCCCAGGAAGTAGCTCGCTGAACCCAGAATGCCAGCGGGGATGCTAGCGGGAGTACACAAATACGAGGGTCAAGGACTTAACTTAACCTGCAGTTTTCTCTCCTGGAGAAATTGTAAAGTGTTAAATATACGTGACTTCTCCTAAGTTTCAGAAGGGTGAGGGTTTGTCCATCCGGCTACAACTGACATAAAGCATCTAGAAGCTGGCTTGGGGTTGGGAAGGGGCAGACTCCATCTCTGAGTGGCTCACACACGTGTGGCCCTGGTGACGTGGCAGCACCGGTGCGCGTCGTGGGCGCTTCCTGCCCGCCAGTGGCCGTCTACGGGGCCTTGGGACAGAGTTCTGGTTTAGCTTTTGCTGAACATCCTTCTTCATGAAGGACAGGGACACAGGCCAAGAGCACGGCCGGACTCCCCTGCACGTGAGGTCCTTGTGTGAGACCCCGGCACCGGGGGCGGAGCTGAAGTCGGTCCCACTTCAAGTATAAGTCTGGATAAAACGTTTCTATAGATAAAACTGTAGCTGAACTTGACAGAGGGGAGACTCTCCGGTTCCAGCCAGAGTCTCTGCGTTGGAGTGACAATCCCAACTTGACACCTGGTTGCCCCGAGGCCCGTCGGGTCTCCCGCACCCCTCTAGCCTTGGGGGGGGGGGGTGGGTGTGGTGTCGAGACCAGGACCCTGGGAAGGATTCGGAAAGGCCCACCTCCAGGCCTGGGAAAGATGCCGGGCACATGTCAGATGCCTGGGGCCCCGGGCCAGGCCGGAGATGTGTCTTGAGGAAACGAGCTGCCAGGCCACCTCACAGGCGGGGAGAGGCTGAACTGTGTGGTGCCCACGGGGCAAGGGGAAGTTCTCGTGGGACTGAGTCCGGTGCTGGTGGCAGTCCTGGGTCAGAGGCCAGAGGGAGAGAGGAGGCCTGCTGGGGGGGGGGGGGGGTGGCGCCCTGGCTGCTGCAGACATGCCCGGTGGGGGGGCAGGACCATGTGGGGAGACAGCCCACGCTGCACCCGCAGAGGCGACAGGCAGCTCTGGCACCGTGTGGGGGGAGGGGATCGCGGACGCTCGCGGTGATGATGGACAGAAGGGAGGTGGTCTCGCTGAGCGTGTGACGGAACCTTCCCAGGCCCTCAGCACCGTGTTTCGTTGCACTCTGCATCCTGGATGTTTCTCAGGCCTGCCTGCAGTTCGCCTGGCCCGCCTCTCCGGCCGATCCGTCGGGGGTCTTAGGACAAAGTGAACTCTGGGCAGGAGGGGGTCTTTTTGAAAGGGGAGGAGAGGCCGCATGGAAGCGGCGGTGTCAAGCCTCATGGCGTCTGAGAGTGGCACGGCGGGTCCTGACCGCGACAGACGTGCAGAAGGAACGGGCAGATGCACTCTGAGTTCAGTCACAGAGAGACTGACGGAGCAGGTATGAGTGGAGGAAGGCCACGGAAGGCTCGAACACAAGATTCACGGGCGTGGGCCCACGCACCAACCGCGATGCCATCCGCTCTTTGAAACGGGCGAACCTGGGAGCGCTCACGAGAAGCGAGCCTGAGTGCGGCCCTGGAGAAACCTCAGCGGGTTGTGGGGTGTTGTCAGAACTCTCTCCAAACCTCTCAAGTCCGTAATGAGTAGACACCAGAGGGGATCTTTCACATGTTTGTGGCTCACAGTCGCGGTCACGGTGCAGGCGTCTGGGGTGGGCTCCACAGGGCCGGGGCTTTGTCTGTTTTGTTCAGGGACACGTCCCAGCTGCTGGCCTGGTGCCTGGGACACGTGGGTGTTCAGGAGACACTTGCCGTGTAATGAGTGAACACACAAACGCATGCGCACATGTGCGCAAACACGCAAAGGCGCACACACATGCACACACACATGCACACCAGAGCTGGTGGCCTTGGGGCATGTTCTGGAAAATGAGAACTTTTAAAAGTTAGCGAACTCGGTTCATCTGGTGCATTAGAAAAGAAGGAAACCTGAAGAAAGCTGAAGGAAGAAGAGAAAGGGGTAGTTGTCTCTCTCCCACTAGTCAGAGGCCCCGACGCCAGGAGGGGCTGAAGCTCATGCTCTGTGTCAGAGGGGCCGGGGCACATCTGGTCTCTGAGCGCAAGCCCTTGGTTAGGGAGCCGTGAGGAGGAGGGCAGAGGGCCCGTCCCCGTGGAATCCCGCAGTCCGTGTAAAGGACGCGCCAAGGACGTGGGACACGCCTCAGGAGATGGGCACGTGCTCTCAGAGCCAGACAACTCGAGTCTCAGACGGTTCGCTAATGGCCGCCAGGTGTCAGATGACGGCTGAGTCTGTGTGCTCTGCGACATCATTCATACGGGAGGTGAGCCCGATCTTCTTCCCCGTCGGCCTGACCCGGAGCTGTGTCCATTCAGGGCAGGGAGGGGTTTGTGGACGGGTAAGAGGGCATGGTTCATAACCATGGTGGAATGTTATGCAGCTGAAAGAACGGAACCCTGCTGCCTGTGACCACGTGGACGGACCTAGAGGGTGTTGTGTTGAGTGAAATAGGCAGAAAGAGAAATAGTGTGCGATTTTACTGGGTGCAGCGTGTCAAACACTGACAAAACCGAAATTGTCGTAAATGCAGAGAAAAACCGGTGGTTATGGGGGTGGGCTGGGTAGACGAGAGCTGAAGGGGTGAGGAGGGGTGGGCAGGGTGGGCGAGAGCTGAAGGGGTGAGGAGGGACGGGGTGGTGGACGAGAGCTGAAGGAGGCACAAGTCTACAGTTAGGAAACGAGTCGTGGGACGAGGGGCACAGCGCAGGGACGAAAGAAGAGCGCAGTAACTGCGGCGACGGATGTGACGGCACCCGCACAGTGAGCCTTTCCTGACGTGTGTGACTGCGAAGCCACTGTGTGACCCTCCTGACATACAGCAGAGTGTCGGCTCGTCTCCCTCGGCTCTCACTGTCTCAAGGGGGATGAACGAATGTGCCTGAAGACATTTGCTTTTTACCAGCGTTTCTTTATATTAGTAATTTTTCGAGTGAGCAGTTTGTATCTCCTTTCATGTCACAGTACTGACTTTATATCGTTGAATAAGCGAGTGGATATGTGGTGCTAAAAAAACGGGAAAGGTTGCTTCTCTGCGGGGATGGGCCTCGGACAGAAGACCACAGCTGCCGCCCTTGCGGTCATCCCTGAGACCCCTGCCGCCCTTTACCCTTGACTGTGGGCAGCCACAGATCCCCAACGTGTGCGTAAGCAGCAGTCTGAACGTGAGGCCAAGTCCGTAGGGGCCCCACGGGTGAGCAGAGGAAACACTGGAGATGAGCGAGGACGGTGGCCAGCGACAGGGCGCTGGAGGAGAGCGTCCGGAACACGGAATGCAGGTGTGCACCGCAATGGGGCGGAAACGGGCTTTTGGAGATAAAATGTGTCTGCTGAAGTTTAAGAGTTCACCGAAGTGCATGGGGCGTCTGGGCAGCTCTGTCGGTTGAGTGTCAAACTTCGGCTCAGGTCAGGGTCCTGCAGTTGTGGGTTCAAGCCCCGTGTCAGGCTCTGTGCTGTCAGTGTGGATCCTGCTGGGGATTCTCTCTCGCTCTCTCTGTCCCTCCCCTGCTTGCTTGCTCCCTCCCTTTCTCTCTCTCTGTCTCTGTCTCTCAAAATAAATAGTTTACTGAAGTGTTAGATGACGGCTTTGAAGAAGTCTCCCGGAAAGGACATCTAAAAAGCAGAACGGACAGTGGGAGAGAAGAGGTGGGAAAGCGAGAGGCTGAGCCCAGCAAGACCAGACAGGACGGCGGGAAGACTTACCCGGACGCAGACGACATGCACAGAAAGCCGCGTGGTAGGAGCCACTGCCCACGTGTGAGGGGTGCTATCAGCCTGCGGCTGCCTCAATGCCGCCCGTCGAGGCCCCGGCCCCCACCTGCCCCCGCCCCCACCCCGCGTCCTGGACAAAGGTGGACCTGTTTGTCGTCCTTGGAAGGAGACCTGAGCTGTGTTCTCAGAGGCCGGCAGTCCGTATGACAATTGTGATTTCCTCGGGTGGTTCGTTTATTGCCAGTCTGGTACTACATAATTTTTTTTTTTTTTACAGAAGTGGACAAAGTAAGGTAAAAATTCATGTGGAAGAGTAAGGACCTAAGGGCCGAAATGAATATTTTGTAACATTTCATTTGGATGTATTTACGTTTACAGAAGAATGAACAAGGAATCCCTGCCGTACTTTCATCCACACGTTCCCATTGTTACGTTTTGTCACGTGAGCTCTATTTCTGTCACTGAACCGACTGGGAATAACTGGGGACAAAGGCATTCTGTGATCACCGCAGCCGCCGGGGGCTCACAGCGAGCGGCCCGGACTCGTGGGCCAGTCGGTTTGTCACTTGTCCCAGTAGTGTCCTTCCCAGCCGTTGCTCCCAGCCTTGGTGGCCCAGCTCTGCTCCTGGAGGTGGCTCTCGGGGCGTCCCGTAAACTGGAGCCGGCGCCCAGTCATTCTTGTGCGTCTCGGGTTCGGCTTTGCAAGAGTACAGGCCACTTGGCTTGTTGGACGGCCCCGCTTGGGTCTGTCTGGTGTTTCGTCCTGATTAGACTCAGGGCACGTTTAGCAGGAGCGCCTTCCCGGTGCACCTGACTGGGGACGCGAGGCCGCTGGGCCCTCGGCTCAGGCGGTGTCGCTGGGCTTCTCCGGTCTGAGGTCACTGTGTTTTGCCCCCCTCATTAGTCATTTGGGGGAAGTGGCTCTGAGACTGAATAAATAGCCCATTTCCTAGCAGACTGACCAGCTAGCCTGCTGCCGCGGGGAGTGGGGCGCCTTCTTGCCGCTTGCTTACTCACGGCTCGGCGTGCAGCAGGACGGCCTCATGGGTTTGTGTCCGTCGGCCACGGGTTTGCTGTTTTGTGGTGGATCAGCGCAGGTGTCAGCCAAGTGGGTTTTGAAGAATAAGAGTGTGGGTGCTTGGCTCGACACAGACAGAGACCGAGTTGTGTCTAACTTTGTGTTGGCTAAACCAGTGTGGTTCGGGCCTGGGAGAGTCGTGTGGTCTAAAGGAGCCTGGCGGTGGCGTTCCGGGGCACACAGCGCTGTGGACACGTGGCCGTCTGGCCTCCATCCACATGAGATGGGCGCTCCTGCCTTGGATGAAAGATCTACGCCTGAAAAGCAAAACGTAGTGATTTTGAGACAAAAATATAGGAAGATATTTTTAGGTCCTCGGTGTTGGGATGGATTCCTGAAGTTACAAAAGAAAAACACAAGTGATAGAAAAGACTATTACATTTAATGATAGGGGAATTCAGTGTGCCGACAGAGGATCTGGGTAAAAGCTAAGGAATGAGCTATATCCGTGGTAAAGTATTTGGAACGAACAACGACGACAGCGGCCTGGCACACAAGCCTGTTGGTACCATAAGTAAAGAAGTTGTACAAATTAGTAAGACGAAGATGAATCACCTAGAGACAGAGTGAGAACAGGCTTCCTGTAGAAGAGGAAGTGGAGAGGGACACCACCCCCGAGGTCCGGGCCAGGGGGCGTCTCACCCCCATCCAGTCGGTGGCCGGGTGTGCGCGGGTGCGGGGAGTGCGCGCGGGAGGGCGGGCTGTGGGGGGCTGTCCCGCTGTTCAGACGAACGCCTGAAATCCACCCCCTCAAGTGGGTGGACATGGACACATAGCCCTGAGCTTTGGGGACCGACAGACTGCCAAGTGGGAGGCGCAGCGGGTCAGTCAAGAGAGCCAGGCCCACGCGTAGTGTTTGTGGCCATGCTGACTGGGAGCGGACAGTGGTCTCGGGTGGGGGAGAGTGGTAACCCGGGGGAGTGGCCGGGGGGGGCCTTCAAAACACCCCGTGCTGTTTCATTACTGAAAGGAGCTCTGAGTCAGATCCGGTGTTAATACTTCCGTCTGAGCAGAGGGTCCTTGGGAATCTGACCCTGGTGTGTGTAACGTCTCATAATCGCACTGAAAAACACGGAGGCACCGCTTGGCCGTGTCAGCGAGCCGAGTCCCTCCACCTGGAACAGGTGTGTCTTGAGTTGCTCGTGCAGGGCAGGGCGTGGCGGGGGGCCGGCCTCATCGCTGTGAATGTGGGGCTGCAAGTGTCATTTGTCCTTCCGAGCTCTTCATGGTGATTTTTTCTGAAGAATAAAGTTATTTGAAAATAGCTTCTATTTCTGAAATTCTTTTCTTACTCACGTGGGTTTGCAGGCAGAATTCTCTCCAGTCGTCCACGCAGCTCCTTCTATCCTGGCCCTGAGCTGCGCCTGGCTGTGCGGTGGGGCTGGGCCGTGGGTGCTCTGGGGCCCAGCAGGGCAGCGGCCCAGGTGCTGTGGACAGCCGTCCCCGACCTTTTTCACGGAGGGAGCCTTCAGCTACGCGTTGTCTCCTGGTTTGCGGGGATTCGTAGTATTCTGGGTTATTCCTTGGGTAGCCTCACCCCTCTCCGCCTCCACAGTGGAGATAACCTCACACAAGGGTCCTGCTGGTGCAGGAAACTTGGTAAAACGTTAAGAGCTTTATGCAGCAGTGTCTTTTATAAACTGAAAGGAGATGGTACTGTCCATTCTGGAGCCCCAGGCTTAAGATCTCAGTTTCTGTTATGCTTTTTAGGTGTTAACAACTGAATTCCAACCCTAAAGATTCTCAGGTCTTTTTCTTGAGTGCTGTTTCTATATTTAGTGTTATTTGTTATACTTACTATAATGTTTAAATGTTATTGTCCTAAGTATCACCATTCCCTTCATTTAAAATGTTTCCGGTTCAAAGTTATATATGTGTATGTATCTACATATAGGTAAACGCGCTGAGCAAGCAGAGGGTCTGTATAATATTGTAGTTTTCTCCTCCCCCGTCAGATATATGCCTGAAGGAGGTCACGTCGATGGCTGACAGCCTCTATAACATACGGCTTCTGAGGGAGTTCTCGAATGAATATCTTAACAAATGCTTTTATCTCACCTTAGAAGACATGCTGTACGCCCCATTAGTGTTGAAGGTAATCACAAATTATTAAAGACACATTTTTTTAAAAGCATTGATGAGCAAGCTATTTATTGTGTCCTTGTTCTGGTTTGTTTTTGTTTAGCCGAATGTCATGGTTTTCATCGCCGAGCTCTTCTGGTGGTTTGAGAACGTCAGACCAGATTTCGTTCAGCCCAGGGATGTACAGGAGCTAAAAGATGGTAAGTGGCCAACCTTCTGGGAGTGGATAGCGGTTTCCTCCCCGAGATGCCAAGAATGTGCTCGGTGCCGAAGGCGCCCTTGGTGGGTCGCTGCCTCTTCACGCGACAGTCACCTTTAAGTGGTTTCTTCTGGGAGTGCCGAGGCCTGCACCGTCGTCACGGCTGCCCGTCTGCAGCTTTTGCGTTGGGTCCTAGAGCTTTCCTCGAAGAGCTTTCCTCAGGGGGCAGCTCTGGGCCTGTAAAATCAGAATCCCGGCTCATTGGGAGAGCGATTGGGCTCCCTGGTTGGGAAGAATACAGCTCTGCTCTTGTCTGTGAGGCAGAAAACCTGTGTTTGCTGTGGGGTGGAATAAGTCCGCCGGCCTTTGCTGGCCTCTAAGGATTTTAGAAGGTAGCATGGAAGAGTGTCCTCACATCCTTGTGATGTCTTAGAATCTAAAAAGCCACAAAGGAAACTATTAGTAATTTGGCCACCTTAAAATAGAGACCTTCTTTTCATTGAAAAAAGATACAGAGTTAAAGAAAAGCAGCTACAAAGGGGAAAAGATACTTTCAACACTTACAATAGATACCTGGTACCCAGAGTGTAGATCTGGTACCCAGAACATGTACCCAATACCCAGAGTGTATACCTAGTTCCCAGAGTGTAAACCTAGTACTCAGAGCATATACCCGGTACCCAGAGTGTACCCAGAATGTGTACCTGCTACCCAGAGTGTATACCCAGTTCCCAGAGTGTATACCCAGTACCCAGGACATACACCTGGTACCCAGAGTATATACCTGCTACCCAGAGTAAATGCTCGGTACCCAGAATGTATACCCAGTACCCAGAGTGTCTACCCCGCCAGCCTGGGCGCCTGCGGTGTGGGCACCTGCTGGGAGCTCTTGGCTACAGGTGTGGCTGAGCTCTCCAGACAGGAAGGTGGACTCTAGGCAGGATGTATGCTCGTCTGCTCCAGTGGATCACCGCTCCTCCCATGGTGGGCCTGAGACACTTGATGTGCCACCAAGTGTTCATCTGGCCTCCTCGGGGACCGGTCCCTCTGAGGAACTCTTCACTGGCCCCGGGGGAGCCTGCCTTTCGCCTCCCCGTGTCGGTGCGGCCCTGCCCCTCACGCATGTGCGCACCATGCCCACGTGGTGGGGCTGGTGACAGGCCGGCTGGCAGCAGCCTGCGGCATCCGTCCACATTCAGAAGCAGGCCTGGTCTTCTCTCCTGTCGGCAGGTGTCGCGCGGCTGCAGGCCGGAGCTACAGGGTTCCCTGCAGCCTGAGGGTCCTCAGGGTCACGGGGCAGCATTGATGGCGAGTCTGCTCTTGTCACTGGAGTGCATGACAGTGCTCTGCTGGTGACAGATCGTTCTGGATGTACAGTCGCTAGGTGTCCTGTGGGCAAGGCGCTTGGGGTCTGCCGTGCCCAGTGCGGGCCGGGTTTGGTGTTGGAAGGTGTGTGGTTCTCCGTGGTGGGAGGCCTGGTCCTGCTGTGGGGCGCCAGCGTCCGCCTCTGTTTCTCCTGCTGAGACCTGCAGTCGTGTGGCCGCACGGAGGGTGTGCTGGGCCTGCGGAGGGTCCTCATGTGCTCTGTGCCCCTTGGCCGGGGCAGTGCCCCAGGTCACAGTGTGCTTCGTCTAGAACCCTCCTTCCCTCGAGAGCTGTGGGATGGAGTAGTGTGGGTGTTACTTCGGTGGGTGATCTGGGTGCCCCCGACCAATGGACCCCTGGTTCTTGCCCTGCTGGCGGTCAGGGACACCGGCCGGCGTGTGCCCTGATGCTGTTGCAGCTTTCACTTTCGACGGTCGTCTTGTTTTGGGAGAAGTTTGGTTTCAAGTAAAAGTTGCATTAATTTTAGCTCTTATCAAAGCTGCGGATTGGTTGGGTTTTTAGGTGCTTCTTGCTAAAGTTTCCAGTAACTGAATAATAATGGACATTTCTGTAAATTGCTGTTTGTGCAGCTAAAGCGGTGTCGCACCACAAGAGCAGCCGGCCCCCGGTTCCCATCTCCAATGCCACCAAGCGCAGCTTCCTGGGCAGCCCCGCGGCGGCGAGCCCGGCCGACCTGCTGCCGCCCACCGCGCTGCCCCCTGAGGGCGGCCACAGGCACCGCCTGCACCCCGAGGAGCCCGAGCACCTGTGAGTCACCGTCCGCCCTCTTCTCCAGGCGGTTTGCACTTAGAACTGCAGTACGTTTTCTGTGACGGGGAAAGTAGTGGGGGGTTGGCAGTGGGAGGACCTCCCCCCGCCCCCGTGCCTTCTGCTTCCAGCGCCCCCAGGCAGGGGAGGGTGTGCAGGAGTCGCTGTGACCCCGAGTTGCCATTTGAGGATATTTATCTCAGGTTTGAAGTTCTTGGTACTCTTTTGGCTTTTTTTATAATAATTAATTTTTCCCGAAGAATCTATGATTTTTTCATACGTTGCTGTGATTCATGGTTCTGTCTGTGGTTTATTGTAAACATTTGCCGTTGAACTTGAAGACCGGTAAACCGGTGATTCTCTCTCCTGTTCTTTCCCATTCAGGGGGAAAGGCGCATCTGCCTTCAGCCCGTCGCACCCTTTACTGCCCCTGAGACAGAGACAGCAGAAGACCACACAGGGGGACGGCCTTGCTGGTAAGACACGTGACCCCTGCGCCTGCCTCGGTCCTCCGCCCTTCCTCCTGCAGCTTTTGGCTTAGCTGATGGCCCTTGGTGGGTATTCCTACTCTGATGCGGTCATTCTAGTTTGGAAGGTTACAGTGGAAAAACTTTAATTTGTATTGATGTTTCTTAGGATTTATAGTCTTTATAGAAGACTATGATTTATAGCATCATTAATTCCATGAAGGATACGGAAGATTGTCCTGTCCTACCCAGTGAGCAAGGCCTTCTGCGTGTTGGTGTTTACTTAGAGTTCCGACGGTCTCCCGTCATGATCTGGACTAAATACTACCGAATTCTGTGCTACTTACTGAAACTCTTGAAAATTGCATTGTGATTGTCATGGCTTTTCTTGGGAACTTCTGGTGTTCTGGATTAGGATACATTTGCTTGCGAAATGGTTATTATGTTGAAAGAATTTGAGGTGCTGTGAAATCAGCTGTGTAACACCGAACGCCCTGCTTCCTCCACCACACAGATCAGCGACTCCGGTCCAACTCTTTAACCCGCGCGGATGGTCAACCACGGGGCGCGGCGGTAGCGTGGCCAGAAAAAAAGAACAGGTGAACTCTCTGGGTTTCAAAGTCTCTGTGTGGAACGTTCCTTCGGCTAACACTGCCCTTCTCCCGAGGGGGTCCAAGGCCCGCTGGGCTCACTGAGCCCCACCCAGGGAGTCTGCGGGTCAGAACCCTTTCCTGACGGTGCTGGGGTGTCCTCTCCTTAACTTTTCTCGTTCTTGTGAAGGATTGAATCCCGAGTCAGACACGGGGTCCAGGCAGGCAGCAGAGAGAATCGCAAAGGTGTTTCGCATTACATAAGCTTTTGTAGTTGAGAAAATATGGTCTTATTTCACGGAATGGTTTTCTTACTGTAATTTGTAATTGTTCTTAAAATGTTTAGCTCTGATTTCTAGTCTGATAAGTGTGGGCATCAGTAAGTATGTAATCGTAGCATACGTGCTGCTGAAGCGGGCGCTCCGTAAGTACGTAATAAAACCGCTCGGAGATCCTCAGTGACGTTTAAGGGCGTAAAGAGGCCCCGGGGCCTGCAGGCATGGGAATTGCTGGACTCGAGCTGGTCTCTGGTTGTCCTCTGCTCTGGGGAAGGGTCTGCTCAAGTCCCCTAGACGCGGGGTTGGTGCTCCCTTTTGGTAACTAGTGCCTTGTCTCTTCGTGTGTTTGAGTCCCCTCCTCGTGTAGACAGGCGTGTCTCTCCCCACATTGCAGGCCTGTGTCCCAGCCGGCGCCCTTTGCTCTCCACCATGCTGCCAGCTGTGACATGGACCCCGGTTCTGGTGACAGCGTCAGCCTGGCCCGCTCCATCAGCAAGGACAGCTTGGCCTCCAGTGTCATTAACCTGACCCCGCAGAACCAGCCCCCGCCTGCCGCGCTGGAGACCGACGGGAAAAGCCTCCTGAACAATGTCGACATCGAGGACGAGGAAGAGGAGCTCGTGGCCATCGTCAGGACAGGCGTGGCTCCCCATGGCGGTGACCGGGCCCCGCCGGCAAGCGCCAGGTCTCCCCGGAGACTGGCAGACGCCCTCGAGCGTGAGCCTGACGGGTTCTTCCTGGAGCCGCTGATGCCGGCCGTGCTGAGGCCCGCCAAGGAGAAGCGGGCCGTTGCCAAGGAGGACGAGTGTGGGGAGGGGCGGCCGCGGGGCCTCACGGGTAGGAGGCCCAGCGAGGGCCAGCAGCCCCTGGTGCGCAAGCGGGCGCCCAGTGGCCACGGCGGCCGGGACTCCAGCAGGACCTCCGCCCCGATCTCCTGTCCAGAGCGTCCCGCGGGCGTGGACCCCGCGCCCGCCGAGGCAGGGCCGCAGGCGGCGGGCGGTTTCGATCCGTTACCTCAGGGACAGCCTGCCGATGGCTTCTTCCTCCACGTAGCCAGCGCCGGTGACGCCGCCGAGCCCTGGGCTGTGCTGAGGCAGGACTCGGACTCTGACGTCGCAGACCTGGAGGAAGCCGAGCAGGATTTCGGCGGCGACGACCAGCCCGTGGTGACGGCCGGGGACGCCGGGGAGGAGGAGTCGGCCAAGCTGCAGGAGGACTTGAAGGTGCGGGAGCACGAGGACAAGGACGACGCCAGCGGCCGCTCGAGCCCGTGTCTGAGCACCGTGTCGCAGGGGAGCGGCATGTCCGCGGCCAGCGGCAGCGTGAAGATGACCAGCTTCGCGGAGCGCAAGTTCCAGAGGCTCAACAGCTGCGAGACCAAGTCGAGCACCAGCAGCTCCCAGAAGACGACGCCGGACGCCTCGGAGAGCTGCCCGCCCCCGCTGACCACGTGGAAGGCGCGCAGGGAGCAGAGCCCGGGCGGCCAGGCCGGGGACCACGCCAGCCTGCTGGCCTCCGAGCTGGTGCGGCTCCGCATGCAGCTGGAGGAGAAGCGCCGGGCCATCGAGGCGCAGAAGCAGCAGGCGGAGGCCCTGTCGGCGCGGCAGCGGCTGAGGCTCGGCAAGGCCGCCTTCCTGCACGTGGTCAAGAAGGGGAAGGCGGACGGCGCCCCCTCGCCACGCCAGCCATATGCGCAGCACAACGGGGACGGCCTCGACGGGGTCTCCAAGACGGACGAGTTTGTCGCGAAGGAGGAGGCGAGGGAGGGCGCCCCCCAGTCTCCGGAGGCGGACGCCGAGAGCCTGGTCTTCCTTCAGCACAAAGCGAAGGGCCCGGCCGCCCTGAACGAGCTGGAGGGGAGCAAGGCGCTGTCCGCCGCGCTGCTGCAGGACGCCGGCGAGGCGGTGGACGCCGGCGAGGGTGACCTGTCCATCGAGAAGCTGAACGAGACCATCAGCACGCTGCAGCAGGCCATCCTGCGGATCTCGCAGCAGCAGGAGCAGCTGCTCATGAAGCCGCCCGCGGCCCCCGCCCCGGGCCCGAGGCAGGGCGGCCCGGAGCAGCCGGTGCGCGTGGCCGTCCACTTCGTGGAGCCGCTCTCCCCACCCGGGACGGTCGCTCACCGCAAACCCCCCCGCCTCAGTCAGGGCCGGAATTCCCGCGCGGGGAGGCCGGCCGAGCTGAAGGTCCCCAAGGACAGGCAGCAGGCTTCCTCCCGCAGCAAGACCCCGACGCCCAGCGTGGAGACCCTGCCGCACTTGCGGCCCTGCGTCCCCCGGACCCCCTCCGACCCGGGCTGGGACGGCGTCGCAGAGCCTGGCAGTGACCCTCCCGAGAAGTACTTCTTCGACAGCTACAGGCTCCACGACGAGAGCAACCAGCGGACGCTTGTCTTGTCCTCTCCCAAGGACGCAAACATTCTGTCCGAACAGATGAGCCTCAAAGAAGCTCTGGAAAGCAGCGTGAAGGAGGCGGCGCTCATCTGCCCCGTGGTCTCAGGGAAGGAGAATGTCCCTGTGGACGAAGCCCCCAGGGGCAAGGCCAGTCTCATCGAGGTGGACCTCTCAGACCTGAAGGCCCCTGACGACGACGGGGAGACAGGGGCCCCCCAGAGCGCAGTGGACCTCGCCGGTGAAGGTGACCAGAAGCCGGGGGTCGGCTTCTTCTTCAAGGTAAACTGCTGCCGGCGTCTTCTCTGATGGCCCGTCAGGATCTTATACTCAGAACGGGGTCCGCAGACCCTCCCCCAAAGGGCCAGGAGGGAAGGGTGCTGCTGCGCGAGCCCCCACCCCATGTCCCAAGGACCCGACTCTGCAGGAAGCACACGGGGCAGGGCCTGTCGGAGCGAATGGGGCTGGGTGCCGGTGAGGCTGCAGCCCTGTACCCGACTCAGGACCCCATGGGACCTGCGTGTGTTTGAGCCGCGGCTGCGGAGGCGTGCGCTCGGGGAGGGTTTTGTTTCTCTGCCTTTCTCGGGGTGTTTCCTTAGGCAGGAGGGAGACGGATGGTGGGGACTCCTTTCTGTTTTCATGGTTCTTCTCCCACAGGGCACAGGATTTCCCTTCTCCCAGAAGCAAGCAGGGTTTGGTTTTTGATGCTTTCGAACTGTAAATGAACAAGTATTAATCTGGGTGTCAGCTCACTGTGTGGAAACCCGGGGTGTAGTTGTGCAGGTAAACTGGCTTCAGCAGGAGACCCTGAGGAAGGCGGCAGGTTAGGGCTGTTTTTTTCTTTTTTTTTTTTTTTTAATGTTTATTTTTGAGAGAGAGACACAGAGTGTGAGGAGAGGGTCAGAGACAGGGAGACACAATCCTAAGCAGGCTCCAGGCTCAGAGCTATCAGCACAGAGACTGAAGAGGGGCTTGAACTCACAGACCGCGATCGAGATCATGACCTGAGCCAAAGTCGGATGCTTAACTGATCTGAGCCACCCGGAGCCCCAGGTTGGGGCCGTTTCTGAGTGGGGTGGTTTTCCGTTTGTATCTTAGCATCTGTAGGGACAGGCTGATTCATCGGGGAGAAAAGTGAGCTCGCATGTGCACCGTGCACTAACCCATTTTCCCTGCACACGAGTGTGCCGGGCCTGGCGGGCCGTGACCCTCAGTGTGATGTGCGTTGTCTGCTCTGTAGGATGAGCAGAAGGCCGAGGACGAGCTCGCCAAGAAGCGGGCGGCCTTCCTCCTAAAGCAGCAGCGCAAGGCCGAGGAGGCGCGAATGCGGAAGCAGCAGCTGGAGGCGGAGGTGGAGCTCAAGAGAGACGAGGCCCGGTAAGCCGGCTGCCGCGCCTGCTGGGCCCCTGCCCTCCCCTGCCCGGCCCCTGCCATCTGCCGAGCCCAGTCTGCCCAGTCCCCAGCCCGTCCTCCCTGCCCGGCCTGTCCTTTGCCACGCCCCAGCCTGCATTCCCCCCTCCCCTCAAGGCCAAGCTCCGGCTGAGCCATTTCTGGGGCTCATCTCCCTCATCCAGCACCACATCCCTGTGCTCTCAGCACTCACCCTGGGGTCGCGTGGCCCTGCTGGGGTGCCTGGGGTGCCTGGTGTCCACGGGTTGTGGAGGGTGCAGGAGGGTGCAGGTCCCTCAGTCCAGGCTTGGGGGCACAGGGTGCAGGGGCACGGAGTGTCAGATGTGGGGGTGTGGAAGTGCGGGGTACAGGGACACGGGGTACGAGGGCACGGAGTGTTGGATGTGGGGGTGTGGGGCGCAGGGGCATGGAGTGTCCAACGTGAGGTGTGGTGTGCAGGGGTGTGGGGGCACAGAGAGATGCTCTCGTACCGGAGCACGGGATGTCAGACGCGGGGTGCGGGGCGCAGGGACACGGGGCGCGGTGGCGGCCACACACGCCTGAGCCGAGCCTGTGTCGCAGGCGGAAAGCCGAGGAAGAGCGCATCCGCAAGGAGGAGGAGAAGGCCCGGCGGGAGCTCATCAAGCAGGAGTACCTGCGCCGGAAGCAGCAGCAGATTTTGGAGGAGCAGGGGCTGGGGAAGCCGAAAGCCAAGCCCAGGAAGCCTCGGCCCAAGTCAGTCCACCGGGAGGAGTCTGGCAGCGACTCGGGGACCAAGTGCGCCTCTACCCGTAAGCAGCCAGGCGGGGCGGGGCGGGGCGTGCTGGGCGGGGCGGGGCGTGCGGGGCGGGGCGTGCTGGGCGGCGGGGCGGCCTCACCGCAGCTCCTTTGTCTGGGCAGCTGACCACCTGAACCGGGCCCAATCGGGCTCCAGCCTGTCCCTGGCCTCCGCGGCGACCACCGAGCCCGAGAGCGTGCACTCGGGGGGCACGCCTTCCCAGCGGTAAGGGGGGAGTGCGGGGGGAGCGTGGGGCGGGCAGTGGCGTTGTGTGTGGTGGTTCTGGGGTGATGTCTCGTGGGCTCTGTCTGGCCCCGCTGACTGCTGCTGGCGAGGTGGATCCCTCTTGCTCTGTAGCCTCTACTGCAGCCANGGGCGGCGGGGCGGCCTCACCGCAGCTCCTTTGTCTGGGCAGCTGACCACCTGAACCGGGCCCAATCGGGCTCCAGCCTGTCCCTGGCCTCCGCGGCGACCACCGAGCCCGAGAGCGTGCACTCGGGGGGCACGCCTTCCCAGCGGTAAGGGGGGAGTGCGGGGGGAGCGTGGGGCGGGCAGTGGCGTTGTGTGTGGTGGTTCTGGGGTGATGTCTCGTGGGCTCTGTCTGGCCCCGCTGACTGCTGCTGGCGAGGTGGATCCCTCTTGCTCTGTAGCCTCTACTGCAGCCACGTGTCTTTCCTGTGAATGAGGAGGTGCCCCCCAAATACCCACAGTTCCCAGATGGCGCTTCTGGGGGGCCCACAGTCCCCACTGTGTCGTCGCTAATCGTCCCATAGTGTCCCTGAGGGCCTGGACCCTGCTCCGGACCATTCGTTACATGAACTGTGTGCCTCCTGAATCCAGACCAACCTCTGCTCTCCTTTGTCTCCTTTGACCTTGATGCTTTTGAGAGAAGAGGCCAGTTCCCTGGGGACGCCCCCAGCCTGGATTTCCTGATGAGCTTCAGGCTGTGTATATTTGGCGAGCGGGTGTTTCCTGGTGTAGCCTGCCAGGCGGGTCCTAACTGGGGCTGTTTTGGCGGGGCGGAGGGGAGCGACTTGCTCACCTGGAAACCCTTTTGTAGCTAAAAAGTGTTTTGGGAGAAGATGCTGGCGACTTTGTTGATCCCAGTGTTTGCTCAGGGGCCTTAGTGACCACTGCCCATTGCCTTGTCCCTTCCTCCACGTGTCCTCACCGTGAGTGTCCTCCTGTGGCTGTGGCCTAGTTTTCCCTCTTCATGTGTCCGGTGGCTTCCTGTCACCTGAGTCTTGCAGAGGGCACACGTGGGGGACTCCAGATCCTGGTTGGGGTTTTGTGCTGATGGTCAGTCGCCTGGGCCAGCCGCAGCCCTGAGTCCCGCCCCCTGCGAGCAGCCCTGGCACCACCGGCTCCTTCTGTGCTCCGTGGACACTGCTCTGGGGGACACAGCTCAGGGATCAGAGTCGTCGAGACCTGGGATTTTGTACTGAGCGCATGGCGGCCCCTCCCTCCTTCCTCCCCGAGGTCTTGTCCCCCGAGCGTCAGCAGCACGGATGTCCCAGACCTTGTCCGCCGGCTTCCAGAGCCAGCAGGGACCCGGTGCGGCTGCCCTGCCCTGTCAGGGTGGAGCCTTCGGACGGACCCCTGGTAGAGGCCGACGTCCCTCTCGCGGGGTCTGTTCTTGTCACTCTGTCATACCTGAGGTCTTGGACTTTTATATTTTGCCCGAGCCGACGCTTGTGGTTCCCAGGGCAGAGTAGACTGCCAGGCGCTCCCCTACGGTGCTGGACGTCTCCACCACCTCAGATTTCCCTGCGCTGGTGGTGAGGGCTGGCTGCGTGTGGGGTGGGTGACGCCAGCCAGTGTGGGCGGGGGCCTGGGGGTCCCCGCGACCCTCCCGGTCCCGCCCATCGCCCGCTCCTTCGGCAGAGTCGAGTCCCTGGAGGCCTTGCCCACGCTGAGCCGCAACCCCAGCAGGAGCACAGACCGCGACTGGGAAACGGCGTCCGCGGCGTCCTCCCTCGCCTCCGTGGCCGAGTACACAGGTAACAGCCTCGCACCCGTGGCCGTCACGGCGGTCACAGCACGTCCCTGCCTGGGTGGGGCAGGCCTTGCTCGGCTCCAGGCACATCAGCGGCCGGTGACACGCCTTTCTGTCCTCCAGGCCCCACGCCAAGTAGTATGTTCCTGGCATTGGGGCGCCTCAGTTTATTTATTTATTATTATTATTATTATTATTATTTTTAATGTTTTATTTATTTCTGAGAGAGAGAGAGAGACAGTGTGAGCAGGGGAGGGTCAGAGAGAGAGGGAGACACAGAATCTGAAACAGGCTCTAGGCTCTGAGCTGTAAGCATAGAGCCCGACGTGGGGCTCGAACCCACGAACCGCGAGATCATGACCCAAGCGAAAGTCGGACGCTTAACCGACTAAGCCACCCAGGCGCCCCTATTTATTTATTTTAATTTATTTTATTTTATTATTTTATTTTATTTTTAAATAAAAGAACAAAGCAGAAAGGGGACAAGGCTAACAGCCACTTTAATCTTTTTCTTAGCGTGTAATCGAGACTCTTCCGCACAGGTTTGAGGTGACTGTTACTTTTCCTCTTCAGAAGCCTGGGCCTTGCCGACGAGCCTGGCCACCCGGCTCCGGGAGGTTGTCGCCTTGCTAGTGAGTGTGCGCCTGCAGCGCGTGCCTTGGGGGGTTCCATTTGTGGCTCTCGCCTGTTTCACAGGTCCCAAGCTGTTTAAGGAGCCAAGTAGCAAATCAAACAAGCCGATTATTCACAACGCTATCTCTCACTGCTGTCTGGCTGGAAAAGTGAATGAACCTCACAAGAATTCAATATTAGAGGCAAGTATCAAATGTCAGCACTAAACTTTTATTATTCTTTATTGAAGTACAGTTAGCGTGCGGCGTTCTTAGCTGCAAAGTTTTTATATAGAAGAAGGTGTACAAATTAAGGGTTCTTCCTAAAACTGAACTTGACTAACACGTGAGGGTAGCTGTGGCCGTGGCTCTGACCGCCCTAGTGCTGGTGTCGGGGTTGGGGGAGATGGAGCGCGATCGCTCGGGAGCTGTCTGCACGGAGCTCTGTGACACGGGAGTAGGGGCAGCGTGACGGAGCGCAGGCTTCAGACGAGCCACGCTGGAGCACCTTATACGTGGGACGGAGCTGGTGGCTCGGGCAGGGCCGTCTGGTGAGAAGCCAGGGGAGAGAGAATGGTAGACGTGGTGTGTTAGCAGAGAACAGTGTGATCGCAGGTAACGGGGGAGCGGAGTTTGTACGCTCTGGCCTTAGCTGCCGTGGTGGCAGGAGGAGACAGGAGGAGCCAGCGGGGGTGTCCTAAGGGGTGGAGGGGCGCGCGGCCGCAGGGGTGGCTCCGGTGTCCGCTCAGGTCACTGCGGAGACGGAAGTTGGGTGGGGAGGGCTGTGCTGACCGCTGCCTTCTCGCGGGCACTGCTGATCCCAGCTGCTGCGACAGCAAGCTGGGCCTTGGGTTCTGTATTTTATTTTGAAAGAGAGTAAGGGAGAGCTCGAGCTGGGGGAGGGGCAGAAGGGGAGAGAGGAATCCCTGATAGGCTCTACACTCAGAGCCCCACTCGGGGCTCGATCTCATGACCTGAGCCAAAATCAAGTTGGATACTCAACTGACTGAGCCACCCAGGCGCCCTGGGCCTTTGTTGTTTTAAAGGTGAGGTGATGGCGGTCTCGGCAAGAATGGTCTGGAAGGCATTTGGAAGCAGAGACTCCAGGTTAGGACGTGAGTGGGGGTCAGTGTCGGGTAAGCGATGCCCTCCGCACCACACGGGGCCGCGCGCCTCTCCTTTGATGTCTCATTCTGGTCTGGGTGCCGAGGGTCTGTCAGGAATAGATCCAAAGGTCCCGGCTGTGAAGCTGACGTCCTAGGGTACGAGGCGACCCTTGCGAGAGGATTCTCGGGCTCCTTCCATAGGAGGCTAGACAGGAAGTGGTCCTCTGCGGGGCTCGGCTCCACGTCCTAGTGTGAAACCCGCCGCAGACTGTGTGGACGAATGGGCGTGGCTCTGTCCCCATAAAACCATTTGCAGCAGCAGGTGGTGGCCACGCTTGGCCTGTGCTGGAGGCGAGGAGGTGAGGGGGTGAGGGGTGAGGGGGTGAGGGGTGAGGGGTAGCCCAGAAGGGCCGGGCAGTGGGTCCGGGGAAGGGTGCCGCAGGCAGGTGGGAGCACGGCGCCCGGGTGCCCAGATGGGAGTGAGCCGCTGGGCAGGAGGAGCTCGGGGAGGACGGGGGGCCCGGCTCCCCCAGGCCCCGAGGGCAGAGGAGGGCCAAGGACCGACCTGCCTTCCGAACGCCACTTTGGCTGTGGGCCGAGCACGGGCGTGAGGGGAGCACGGGTGGCAGTGGGGGCAGAACGGGCGGTGTCTGGGGGCGCGTCCGGTTCTGGGGGTGCTTCTGCACCAGTTTCATTTAGTTGGGTTCTGTTTTTCCCCACTAGTCTTTTAAAATACGTATTTGTTAATTTGAATTAATGACAGGCTGATTATATTTTGACAAAACCAATGTGTGTTTGTGAAAAATAAGCATATTTTCTAAAGCAAAAAATAATTAGGAAGAAAAACAGCAGTTTCACGTTTTTACCAATCTTTCAAGTTTCTGGGTCCTCGTCCGTTCCTGCTGGCAGCGTGCTCCGGGGGCACCGTGACGTTGCCTCTGGAAAAGCCCCCCGCACACGGCGGCGGGTGGGGGGGAGGGTGTGAAGGCGGAACCTGGTAGCTGTTGGTGGAGGGCAGTGACCTGGGAGCCTCGGGACCGGGTTTGAGAACCGAGGGGGTGGACAGTGAAACCAGGGCTTCCCGAGCACAGGGGGGCCTCTTTACAAAGGTCGTTAGCACAGAGCGCTTAGTTGAGGGCGCGGCGGGGCGATGCGTAACAGCACCCGCAGGGCTGCTCGCAACGGTGGCGGCAGCGAGGGGTCACTCACACACCACACACCCCTCTTGGTGGGCAGAGCAGTGGCCACGGGCGCCACGCCCTGGGGGCGCAGAGGACTGTCCCGCTTGGCCGCTGCCCGGCCCGGCTCCCACCAGCCCGCCGTCCGTCCCTGGACGCCCGGCTCCCGGTCGTTCTGCGGAACAGGACCCCCGCGCCGGGTGGCCTTTGGGGCCTTTCCAACAGAGCGTCACGGTTCTGTCTCCTCCGAGTGGTAGTGCGAGTGAGGTTCCCCTTCCTCCTGCGGCTACTTGCCCCGGGTCACGTAGCCGGGCGCCACTCGTGGGGCATCCGGCCCTTCGTGCTTTCCTGACGGTGCCAGCAGGGCCGCTGTACAAGGCGTGCGTGCGGGTGTCCGTGCGTGCTGGTGTGTGCGCTTCGGTGTCCTGAGTGCACACCTCAGACCGGAAGCGCCCAGGCCCCCATGACTCTGCCCAGCGTTGAGAGCAGCCGCCCACGCGAGTTCGATCCGCTCTGCAGCAGGAGGCTCCAGCGTCACCCCCTCACCGGCACTCGTTGCCACCTCCCTGCTGGGTTGGGGCCTCCCCGGGGGGCGTCCAGTGGTGACCCACGTGGTTTTGATTTGTGTTTCTCTGGTGGCTCGTGTTGTGTGTGACTTTTCTCCGCCTGCTAAAAGCATCTTCTGTCGCACAGCTAGACCCAGGTCTCCGTGCCATGTGACGCCGCACTGGCTGGTGGGCCGGGGGTGGGGGGGTGCTGAGCACCCACAGAACGCTGTGGCAGCCCTGAGCGTTGGAGTGGCGCTCAAGGCCCCGTCTCTCTTCCTTTACTCCTCGATCCAGGAGCTGGAGAAGTGTGACGCCAACCACTACATCATACTGTTCCGGGACGCGGGCTGCCAGTTCCGGGCGCTGTACTGCTACTACCCCGACAGCGAGGAGATCTACAAGCTCACGGGCACCGGCCCGAGGAGCATCACCAAGAAGATGATTGACAAACTGTATAAGTACAGCTCGGACCGAAAACAGTTTAACCTGATCCCGGCCAAAACCATGTCCGTCAGCGTGGACGCCCTCACCATCCACAACCAGCTGTGGCAGCCCAGGCGGCCCGCGGCGCCAAAGAAGCCCCAGCCTCGCAAATGACACGGGCGCCGGCGGGGTGGCCTGGGGACGTGTGCACGGGGCTGAGAGTTCTCACTTCCGTGCGTTTGGGTACGAAGCGTGCAGAGCCACAGACCTTTTCCAGCAAGGTGTCCGTTAACGAAAGGAAAGCTTCCCGGGCTCCCCGCACACGCAGCGGGCGCTGGGCGGAGCGAGGGGGCCGGGAAGAGGCACCGGGTCGAGCGGCTCGGCCGCTGTTGGCCACGGAGGCTCGGCCGTGGGGTAAGCGTGTGGTGGGGTGTCCGGGCAGTGCATCCCTTTACTTGAAGTTCTCCTCAGTGTGGATGGAAAGTGATGTCCTTCGCTTTCTCACCTCCCACCCCAGCCCCTGTTTGCACGTGACCTGACCCCCGGGTGCCGCCGGCTGTAATCCTGCGGGGTTATAGGGCTGAGGCTCGGCCTCGGGTCAGGGTGTTTGAATGTCGTTAGGAAAGGAATTCAAATTGGGGGAATCTTGCTCATTTGAGAAATTGTATGATATTTATTGATTGTGTCTACTGCCAATGTTTATATCCGGTTCTACGATTTCTGAAAAAAAAATCCTTGTTCTTTGCTGCTCAGAAAACGTTTACTGAAAATACCAGTTCACTAAAAGCACTGAAATCTGCAAAGTCTGTCTTCTACTAAGCTGACGTTTACAGACGTGGGGACGATTGCCGCTACCATGCGGTCACGGGGATGGCGAATGGTGCCACCAACCGGCGTTAGCCTCGTTGGAAATAGATGAGCTGAGCAGATGACGGCCATCGCTCGCGGAGTTTTGGATCGCGCTCTAATGATTTGTTCACTTTAATAAAGACAGATTTTGGTAAAGTAGAACATTTTTCCTTCTGAGCGTGTTTCTCCCGAGAGGTGACACGCCGAGCTGGCGCTGCCCTTGGGGGCTGTGTCGCACCATGACTCTTCTGTGTCCCCAGAGGTGTGTGTGCTGCTGCGTGCCGATCGGTGATTTTGTTCCTCCGGGTATTTAAAAACGACCTAAGTGGTGGTTTGCGGTGGAAACGGCCTTGGGTTTTCTCTGCACTGGTCCAGACGGTCCTGTCTCGGGCCCCGCTGGGTATGTGCCACAGCTCCCCTCTGCCTGGCCGTGTGACTCACCAGCTGCTCTGAGACTTGACCCAACTGCCAGAAGATTCTGGAGTCACAGAAGATTGTGGAGTCACTGACGTCAGTTTTGCACACGTTTTCTGGGGCATGTTACTTGAGCCCGCGCTGAATTGCAGCGAACACTACAGGTCGATGGGAGAAGGTAGGCGGATGCAGCTGCTCCCTAACTCGGGGTGTGGACGCGTCAGGGAGCCTGTGTGGCTCAGGGAGGAGGGGGGAGGCAACCAGACTCGGGGAGCTGCAGGCCCTCCTCCGGCTCCCTCTGGAGACACAGTAAGTGCCGGGGCCGCGGCAGCTGCGTCCTGGGAGTGAGTCGCGGGGCCGCCAGCCGAGGACTTTGCAGGGGCCCCGCGTGACCTTGTTCCTGTGATTCTCACTGGGTGCTTCGTTCTAGCTGTGTGTTTGATATTCTAATGTATTTATTTTATGAAAGCACTAAAACGTAAAGTAATTAACTTGCTTTGTATTAGTCACACGCGTGTGAGCTCATGGCTCCCTCTGGGTTGGTGTCTCGGCTCTGTGCTCTTGAGGAATTTCACGTTTTTAGGTAACCGCCGCTCCTCTCGAAAAGCGCATCCTTCTGGCTCACGGAGCAGGGAGGCCTCCCAGCCGCTTCCTTTGCGAAGTCGCCACTGGCTTCACCACGGCGCTGCCGAGTGGGCGGGCAGGAGTCTTCTCGATGAGACTCTGTGCTCCCGGCGGACAGCTGGGCGGTCATTCCCGCCAGACTCTGGGGAAATTGAGGATTTCCCGGGTGCGGAGGGGCAGCATCCGCGGTACCGGGACCGTTGGCGTCCGCGCTGTCCGGTGGGCAGAGGGCGTGAAGGGCTGGTGTGGGCTGGTGCACACGCTCTGGGCTCTCTGTGCGCTGACTGGGTAGGCAGACGTCTTTACTCGGGAAAGTTTCAGATGCGGGATGCATCTCATGGTCAAGATGGTTGACTTTTGTGGCCTGAGGGGGCGAACGTTCGTTTTCAGTCCCCAGGGTTGTGGCGGGAGCCCCGCGAATGCCTTGTGCCTTCCGACCGAAGCCCCACGGTGCGCATCCGGATGCAGGGCCGGCGGCGCCAGGTGGTACGTCTCGTTCGGGCGCCCTGGCTGCCGTGTGGGATTCAGTCCCAAAAAGAAAGCGTTGACCAGATGCTGGGATGTGTGAAGTTGAAGTCCTTGGTCTTGACAGAGCCCTGGGAGCCCGAGAGGGTGGGCGTTCGAGACAAGTGACACTTGAGCGAGCCCCACGCTGACATGCACGAGGGGCGTGGATACGGATGTGCGTGCGGCACGTGCCCTTGGGCCTTCCGCCCGTGTTCTCGGTGCGCCACTCTTCTGGGCCCTTCCGTGAGGCGGAGGGGCCCGTGGTCAGGCCTTGGCTGCACCGCAGCTGTGGTTGTCCTGTGGACGGGAAAGCGTTTGCCCGAAATAGCTTTCCTTTTGGAAGGAACTCGCGTCGCCTTGCCAGTCGGTGCCGACTCCCTCCGAGGCGCGGGTTGGAGCGTCCTTTGTCATAGTGCTTCACGCGTGCGGGGGCCGTGGCCGCCCCGCTGCCCCATCCGGCGCGCCGGGGAGAAGCAGGCCGTGCCCAGGAGGAGGCCGTCTCTTCGCAGCGCTCAGGGCGCTTGCTGGCTGCTCAACGGCGCCGGCGGGCGGGTCCTTACGGCGGCAGCGAGCGCGTACACGCCGCGGTCCCGGCCCCGCACGAAGGCGCCAGGCCATGGAAGGCGGGTGTCGGGGGAAACCTTGGGCTGCGGCGGCTGCAGAGATGTGGCCGCAGCGCGGGAGCTGCTTCCCCTCACTGCGCGGGGGAGGGGGGGAGACACTGGCCGAGGGAGCCAAGGCCCTGAGCCCCGCACGGCCCCACAGCGGGCCTCCTCCACTCCCCTTCGTGCCGGTGGCGCGGGCGCAGCTATTCCTGGGATGACGTGCCAGCAGATGCGGGCGGTCAGAGCCACCATCCGGGCCAGAGATGGTCTCCTGGCACCACGCCCTTGTTCTAGAAAGAACGGAACCGCACCGGCCCTCCCTGTTGTACATCATCACGAAGAGGGGGCGCCAGGGTGCGCAGGGCGCTGTTCCGTGTGGTGGGATAAACAGACAGGTGACGCAATCTGGGGGTCCGTGCGCAGCTGGAGGGGCCACTGGGGCCCGCGCTCACGGCGCCACCAGAACCCCGCGGTCTTCAGTTCCAGGGGAGGCGGCGTCTGCTTTTTGGCCTTTTATTCCAGATGATGTTTCTTTTCATTACAAACCAATCCTTGTTTTTCTTTTTTTTTTTTTAAGTTTGTTTATTTTGAGAGACATACGGAAGGGAGGAGAGAGAATCCCAAGCAGGCTCCACACCATCAGTGCAGAGCCCGACGCGGGTTCGAACCCACGAACCAGAGAGCAGGGCCTGAGCCGAAACCATGAGTCAGACGCCTCACCGGCCCAGCCCCCGCGCCCCCCAGTTCTCCGTACGCCGGGGCAGAGCGCCCCCACGGAAGAGTTAGTGACTCACTAGCGTGCAGCTCGCTGTGTTTCACAAAGTGCCTTTGCAGATGTGTGAGCGGACGGTGCGTGGCCACATCGGCCTCATGCCAGAGCTGTGGGCTCCCAGCGCCTGGGAGAAGCGTCCAGAAGGGCTTTGTGGAGGGAGGGCCGTGCGGTAAAGAGGCTTCAAGTGACCTTAACTGCTGAAAAGGGGCCCCCGGTTGTCCCGCTCCGGTTGTCCCGCCCGCCGGCTGTGGGCTCGGCGCTGCGCCAGGCACACCCGTGGGACCCAGTGCACGTCTGGAGTTAATTTGGCAGAAACTGTCCCCGGTAGGGTCCGGAAACGAAGAAGCAGAGGGTGGGAAGGGGATGGGGGGGATGATGTTCCAGGTCAGCAGCCGGGACTCTGGGATGTCAGGGCCCCGGGGATGGACAGCCTATTTTTGTAGGAAATAGCAACGCTACTGACACTTTGTACAAAAAACTCCGTGCATGCACGCGTGCATGTGCATGTGCGTGCATGTGTGCGTGTGCCCGCGCGCACGTCTGACGTGTGGAGTGAGCCTGTTGAACAGGCTGCAGGGCAGCGTGACGGCTGCAGTTGCTGTAGGGCCCCCCCCCCAGGTCCCCCAGGCCCGTCCCTGAGGGATGGCGACCCCGCTCCCCTGCCCAGCGCTTCAGACTCTGGTCCTTCCATACGATCCTCTGCAGCACATCTGGAGATTGTATGCTAGAGGTTTGGGTTTTTTTTAATATGAATTGGTTTTTTTAGTCCAAGGTTTATATAGTTAATTTACCAAGACTCTGCGATCCTGACTTTTTGGCTTTCAGATAAAAAGGGGTACGACACAGCTTGTTTCGCACCCGTCCCCTGGGATTGCGGTGCAGGCGGGATGCGGTGGGCGGCCCCGGCTGTGGGTCCTGGAGCCCGAGTCGGGCCTGCGCGGCCTGCGCGGAGCTCACATCTTTGTCTGGGCTAGAAATGGACTCACCAGGTAAGACAGTCCCTGCTCACCAGGCAATTAAATCTCAGTTTTGTTTACTTAAAGCCTAACAGTTGCGTTGAAAATACGATGTGTAAATAGTCACGAGGGTGCGGGCGCCAGGAGCCGTCTCTCCCCCCTCGGAGGGACACGGCTCACACCGTCCCTGGTGGCCGCAGCTGTGGCCCTCGTGGAGTGGCGGGGACGGGAAGTGCCAGGCGTCGATGGCCTCCAGGGACACCCTTGTCTGACACGCGGCCAGTGAGGCTGGGCCACGTGCTGCTGCTGGGCCCCGTGCGGCCCCAGGGACGCTCTGTGGGGGGGGGGGCAGAGTGCACCTCAGACCCCTGAGGCGGCGGGGGGGGGGCGGTGCAAGCAGATCGTGCAGGGGTGACGGGAGACGGGCCTGGAAGCCGGGGTGTCCAGGGCTTGAGGGGAGGCGGCTGCCGTGCTTGGGGCCCCGGCCCCGCGTTTCCCTGATGACCGCAAAGCGGAGCGTGTCCCAGGCCTTGGCGGGTATTCCGCTTTCCTCCTGTAAGATGCCTGTTCACGGTTTTGCCTGTTTTCCTGCCGAGTGTCTGTCTTTCCCTAATTAGTAACAGCAGGTGAATTTCTGAGAGAGGAGACGCAGGACAGAGTGTCCCGTTCTGGGGCTTTTCCCTGTCTGGCTGGTGTCGTGATAAACGCGAGTCCCTCAGACTTATTTGGCCCAGTTATCATCGCCCTTGTCAGAGCCACCACGGGGCTGCGGAGCCGTCCCGGAAACGAGCTGGTGGAGCGTGTGTTCGGGCTTCTGCGTTTGGGTCCCGGTGCGCCTGCAGCCGCCTTCCCCGCCGTGTGTGGTGGCAGCGCCGGCCGCTCCTCCGGGGGCTCTGGGACGCTGCGCCCCCCCCTCGGCATCCGGCCTCTGGCCCGTGGCCCCTGCGCTGTCTCCCGGCCTGCTGTCTGCGTCGGGCAGAGTAGGGACCCCGGCGGTGTGCACGGCCTCTCCGGGACCTGGGGCTGTGCTTGGTGGATGGCAGAGGGTTAAGGCAGCTGCCCTCGACGTGGGAGGTGACCCTGGGCGTCCTGTGAACCCGGTGTGCTCACAGGGGTCCTCGGAGGTGCGGGAGGGAGGCGGGGAGGAGGTGTGGCTGCTGCAGCAGAAGGGCCGGCTGTGACCGCAGAGGAAGGGACTGTGAGCCCGGGTCTCGGGGAGCCCGGGTCTGGGAGGGAGGGGCCAGGATCTGGGGAAGGCGAGGCAGCGGACCCTCCCCCAGAGCC